ACCTCGGTTGCTGGCATTTCTCGAAGCTTTAGGTGTTAAATCAAATCAGATCCTCAACAAAAAGGACTTTTCATTGATGCTTACCCAAATTACCAAGGTACACGAAGCAACCCTTGCTTATTTAATACTGTGTGTATTTTTCCTTACTGTCTTATACTGATCTGATCAATCAAACAACTTGAACTAAAATTGATTCATGTATTTTCAGATCGGTCATGGGCAAAGAAAAGGATTCCCTCCCTGCAGAAAAAATCCCAATGCGATCTAACGACATCCTTACAATCATTGATACTTGTTACAATAAGTATCTTTCCCCCGGAGCTCTGGCTCAAGCAAAAACTTCCAAGTCCCCTTGTCTAGCAAACATGCTCCTACGACTACGTGATTTTTCCAGTATTGTTGAATGCAACCGTAGCATGAAGGCTGGAGATATCGGACGGGTCCTCAATGTCTGGAAACGTTGGTCGGTCATGGCCCATGGTATCCAAGGCCTCACAAACTATGCAATCGATCTTCCACGGATGTACTTATTACTCACAAAAGTGCTTCCTCCAGGCCTCCAATCGGTTCTAAAGCATTCGATTCTTATCTCTCCAACTGGTCGAGCAAATCATTTTGTAGCAAAAGACTTTCACTTGGAGAACTATAACTTCTGGTTGAAATACTTTTACAACCATACTGGCATGGGCACAAGCATCAACCGTTTAAAAGATGAGTTTTCTCTAAATATCCCAATTGTAAGTTCATTTCTTTGGTTTTTTGGTTTGAAAATTTCTAATTATAATTATTCATATGGTAACAGCTACGATCACTGCTAGATTCACTTAACGAGCGATGCGGACAAGCCCACATCTATCAGTCGCATAAAGATTCAATTTCAACACCCTCCATGAGCAGCTTCATGAAGATGGCTAATCAGTATGACATTTGTTGTGTCTCTGAAAAATCTAACAAAACCTGTAAAAAACCAGTAGTTGATGTCTACGATAATGGATTCAAAGCTATGCAGACCGATGTGAAAAAAGGAAGTAAAAAAATGAATCGCTTGCGACCTTCAACCAACCTTCACGAGGAGACAATTGATGAAGCGGAAGAGATGGTTGAAAGTGACCAAGAAGGTGTTTTTTATGATGAGGAGGATGAAGAGGATTGATTGTGGCTAGGTTCCAGATGTTTCTCTCTGATTCGTTTTTCGTTTTCAGCTTTGTATTCCTCCAAGATAATACTGTCGCTGAGCCACTTAGCACGCTTCCTCTCTCTCTCGATTTCCGCTTTTGTTGGTGGTTTACTTGAAGTTGAGGTGTCCACCGCTGTATAATTTCGTTTTCGTTTCTTTTTTCCTTCCAAGTACTGCCTGTAAGTGTCTCCTTCGCAATAAAGATCCACAACCGATTGCAAAGTATCCATCTGGCCTTGAATCATCTCACCCCCAATAAGCCGAGTGATTTCAAGCTTAGATAGCCCTCTCTTCACCGCAAGAGCATACAGTCTGGCTTGTTGGATATCAAACATCTGCACAGCTTGAATCTCGGCTGTCTCCACATCAAATGTTTCATTGAACATGCCATCAAACCGATCAACCAGACGACCGGCTAAATCTTCAAGAACATCATCGAGCGGATTTTTGGTTGAACCAAGTCTAAAATTTGCTCGTGTTGATGGCCTCACAAGTGGGATGTTGAGAGGATCTTCAGGTAAGTCTTCTCCGTTTTCCATAAACAAGTCAAAATTGTTGTTCCGGAACCGTCGAAAGTTGTCTAGGAGGCTTTGCATCTTCTGTGGTTCACAGTTTGAACACAAGCACTGAGGAAACTTTGATGCGATCTCGTGGGCACGTTCGCGGGTAGCATTGGGATCATCGTAGGATAATGGCACATATCCAACCCTGCATCAAGCGATCAGAAGGTAAGTCACTCTTGTTGTTCTCATTCAACAGAAGCAAAAAATATTGATCCTACTTGTTATCTATTGCAAAGCAAATCCGTAAGCAGACTGGTGTAATTGCAAGCGCATCCATCCTCTCATCGTCCGTTTGGTTGGTAGGGTCAGTGAATTCTTCAATTTTGTTCTTCCCACCCCTCCGAGATTTTTCGACAAACAACAAGGCCAAGCCTGGTGAGCCACCTCTGCCACAGCGGCCGATCATCTGGCAGATGGATGCTGGATCGCCCCTCCCAAGATGGATTACTGATCGAACTCTCTTCCAGTTCTGCCCAAGGCCCAACGCCATCGTACAGGATATGACCGGAAACTGGCCAGCTGCAAACTGTTCAGTTGTTTTCTTCTTGCTTTTGTCACCTGTGACAGCATGGAATCGGCGAGCAAACGTGCTGTTAGGATCGTGATGACCTTCCGGGATACGACGGGCTTCGTGAACAACTTTTGAAACTTGCATGGTGAGATTTCTGCTGGTAGAATAAATCAATGATGGAATCATTTCATTGTCTGGGATACAGGAACGTGGGCCATATAGCATCAGAAGATCGTCACAAGATTTGAGTGAAGCCTTCATTGGGACTCTAGCGATACGAATATCTGGTCGGCTCAGCTCAGCATTTCGAAACGAAATCGACTCTTCATTGATTTTCAGGCTTGCAAGTATGCCTTTGATGGCTTGTGGCCGACAAGTTGCTGACAGAAGGAGTATAGGTGCATCAATCCCTAAAAGACGAGATGCGATGTCCCCGTACGATGGACGAAAGACGGCTCGATCCTGATGGCGACCATGAGAAAACAACTTCTTCGATTTTCCGCTGGCAACCAAGCCCCACACGTAAATCATGTGCGCTTCGTCCACTACCACAAGTGAAACTCGATTCTGGAAGGTTTCATTGAAAAAGATTCTAGTGAAGATTGCGTTGTTCAACAAAACCTCGGGGCTCTTCAAGTTGGTCAGCTTACGATCTGCAGGTAAGATATGTACATTTATTTCTCTGACTCACCAAGTAAATGAAGGAGTAATCACCATTCAAAATCTTCTGTTCTACAGTCTCATTCAAGTTCATCTTAGTCAGATTGACCGCGGTTATCTTGAGCGCATTTTTCTCCTCAACCTTGAAAGATACAATAGAACATGTAAGTCTCGGTTTTTCCCTTGCCTGAATCCAAATTTATGTACACACCTGATTATCCCCCAGGGAGTCGAGAGGATTCAAGACCAAAACAATTGGTTTTTTGTATTTGGGGAAGAGATCCCAATACATCTCGGCTATTCGGCTCTTACCGACGCCTGTCCCAGCAAGAACGAAGGTGTCTCGACGATTGATCAAATCCATTACCGATTCTAGCTGGACTGTTTTCGGCTCTTGATCTTTGTAAGTTTTTGCTGATCGATTTCTGAGCATTTTGATTTTTTTATCATAGTTCATGTCAGTAACACTTGAACTCAAGGTCAGCTTTCCTTTCTTGCTCTTAAGTAATCGACCAGGTCCTTCGATTGGAGTTTCCTGGAGCTGCAACTTCGATATCTCTTCGAAAGGTAAGAGATCATCGGCAATGTCATCGAGCAATGGTGTTGGAAGACGATCATTGTTGGCAGACTGTAAAGGTTCTTCAGAACTCGAATCGGATGGCATGATGAGACTGTTGTTACGTTCAGGAAATCTTTCTTAGGAACTCAATCCTTCTTTATTTTCCTTACCGATGTCTGCACCGTAAACAATTGCAGATCTCCTTAATTATGCTGAGTAATCATATGATGTTATGTTTTCGATCACATCACGATTGCATGTGAAATGCAAAAAAAAACATCGGTTTTCTTTCCTTTTTTTTAAAAAAAAGATTGAGCTGGGAAAACTAGTACAAAAAGTTTATGGGAAGATTTGTAAGAAGGTAGAGAGTAAATAAAAAAGGACAACAAAATTTCAAGAAAAATGGCATGGAAGCCATAGGTGAAAGAGCCAAAACAAGCCTCTAAATAACGTCCTGCTCAGGCGAACTTTGAGAAGTAATCTGTAAGCCTCTCTGACGAGACTGGGCTGCCGCCCAGACCTGCCCGCAAACGACTCTCGTCACGAGAGGATTAGTTAAGCTCGACCCTCTCTCCATTTGACCCAAAACCGACGTCATGCGAGATCTCCTCGGTCTGTCGTCACACCCCCTGTGAACCCAAAGTGTGTTTACAGTTCAAAGGATACACAAACCAGACTGAGACACAGCGGATTTTGCACAATCCACGGACCGGACAGATTATCTGGTTGACAAATGTGCATGAGCATGGGATTTTGAAAAGTCGAGGTTTTGGGCTTGAAGTTTCTTCAAAAACAGCAATTCCATTATATTGAAACAAGAATTTTGCTTCAAGGAGAAGGAGACGCGTGAAACTGCCCAACCTATGGTGACATAATTTTCTTGTTAAGGCCCTGAGTTTTCTCAGTTCATCACTTGGACTACTAAAGCTTCTATTTCGTTAACTTCCACTTCCTAATACATAGTTGTTGGAACCTATATCCCTTGTCTTGACTTGGGTGAGAAGATCTCTTTGAGGGCCCAAATCTGCTAACTTGCAGCACTCACACTACAGTTGTATTTTTAGAGACCTCAAGGAAACGTGCATTCTAACAGATGGTTTTGATTTCTATCTTGTAAGTTGTAGCTGGCTGCAGAACTCATAAGCTAACAAAACTAGGAGAAGATGTGGGACAACAGGTACCTTGCATAATCATCTGGAAGAAGGAAAAGAGTGAGTGGGATATGAGAATGAAAGAAAAGAGTGTGCCAGCATTGACAACAACGCTGGGCCGCTACGCTACGCTACGCTACGCTACGCTAAAGGGCCACTTAGCGTTAGCGTAGCGGCGCAAAAACAGGCCCTTTTTTCTGTAGTGTTAGCGTGCCGCTACCGCTGCTACGCTACGCTACGCTGTAGCCCCGCTAACAGGCGGCATGTTTTTGGGTAGTGTTAGCGCATCGCTACAGCGCTACGCTGCGTTACGCTGCGCTACAGCGCTTTTAGCGGCAAAAAAGGCAAAAACCCGCTAAAAAGCCCTGTAGCGCGGCGTAGCGGGCACTTTTTTGTGCCCTGAGCGCGTAGCGTTAGCGCAATTCCGACTTTCTGCGCTAACGCTACGCTAACAGCTAACGCACTTTTGTGCCCTTTGCGCGTAGCGTTAGCAAAGAAAGGTGGATTTTTCGCTAACGCTACACTACAAAGTAGCGCATTTCCGCTGCGCTACGCCACGTTAACGCTACGGTTAGCGTAGCTGGCCCAGAGTTGTTGACAATCCAACAAAAACTAGAGGCCAAAGTGAATTCATCAGATTCCTCTATTCTGCAGATGATCTACCTTGAATTACATCTAGCCAGTTCTTTGAGTAGACTAGATACAATGAGTCAGACATGTGGGAGCAACAACTCCAAGTGGTTGAATGTAGCATATCCAATAAATAAAAGGTGAATAGAAAAAAAAGGTAAGAATCCAAAAAAGCAAGTATTGGAAGGTGTAATTCACACCTAAAGATGGCCTTGCGGTACCCGTTGGGCGGTACCCGGGACCCGTTGGCGGGTACCGCCTTCACTCCTCCGGTACCCGCCAAGTGGTGCCGGGTGCGGTACTCGGTGCCTGCTTTTGGGCAAAAAAGCAGGCGGTACCCTGGTACCTTCAAGGGTACCCGCCCCCAAACCCCCTCCTTGGTGGCTTGACCGAGACTAACTGGTCTCGTCCAGGTTGCTGGAGAGGACCCCTCCTCGGCAACCTGATCAAGACCAATCAGGTCGCCGGTAAGGGCCCTCCTTGGCGACCTGATTGGTCTCAACCAGGTTGCCTGGAAGGAGCTCCGGTTTCGGTACCCGTCATACTTGAGCGGGTGCGGTACCCGGTGTCCGTTTTGGCCGAAAAAAGCAGTCGGTACCCGGGTATCAACGGGTACCCGGGTCCCATGGGGCCATCTTTATTCACACCAGTAGCTGTAGCCTGTGAAATTTGATCCTGCATCCAGCTCAAATATTCTTATAGACAATTTATGATACTTATGTGATCAAATTGAATGTAAACACATACTTTGGGCAGACATTGGACATGAGAGATGATGCTTGATGAATTAGATAAACTATAAGAAATACTTCGAGAAAATGAAAGAAGAAAAAAAATCTTGTAGCTGTGAAAGTTTACCCAGAGCCTATTTTTGTTTGTTTGTTTTTTGATAATTTTTCAATGTTTTTTTGGTTTTGTAATTTTTAGACTGTTGTAAAATCTGATACCAAAAGAAATATGTTGATTTTCTACTTGATTCAAATTCTGTGTAACTTTTTTGGAATATATTCAGAAGAAAACAAAAATGTGGAAGATTCCCATTTTCCCCACATTCTTTCCTGGCCGTTGGGTTGACATTAGAGTAAAGCAACCAAGATTCAGATGCTATGAAACTCTTTACCCTGTATTTCTACATTTAGTACATCCTTGATTCTATTCTTGGTCTCAATAAGGTCTTTGATTGAATATGTTGGGAAAAGTGAATCACTCAGATTGATGAAATCACCATCAAAACCTGCTGTAACAGATGGCCCAGAAATCAATTCCTTATGTTCAGCATCAAAGTATTCTTTACTCCACTCCATAAGTTCTTGAGCTATTTTGGGTGTTGGTGGATCATAACTTGTGAGATAGTTGTTGAGTATTTTTTGGAAAAACTGAGCATCATTTGTCATCTTCCAAGATTGAAATAAAGACTTGATCCTGTCTTGTGGTGTGATATCTTCAAGTGAATTTAATTGACCTTCTTGAGAGGCAGTTTCCAATTCCAGATTTTTTCTTGTGTTGAATAGAGAAACATATGGTTTTCTCTTGATGTCTGTGAGAAAAATCATTTCCTTTGATTCTTGAATGACCTTTCTTGCTTCTTCATTTGCCATGTGGATCAATTCTATCTCTTGAAGTGTTTCACCATACTTAGCGTATAATGACTTGATTGATTCAGAGAAAACCTTTATAGAAGCATCAATAGCTTGAATTTGATGAGAAATACCATTTTGTATAAGCATAGAATTCACTTTTGGAAGGTCATCAATGTTATGTTCAAACAAATGTCTGATCATGTCATGAAAAACCTTCAGTTTTATTAGGGAATTTGGGGCTTCTAATGATTCTTCAGAGAGTATGGTGTGGATTGTTTTTTTGAGGAAAACTGCCACATTCTTATCCATGGTTAATCTGATACTTCCATTAATAATTTCAGGAGATGTTAATTGGAAAAATTCTTTTTCCACTCCATGAAAATCAAAAGGGATGTAGCTCCATAAACCTTGATAGGTAAAAAATGTCTTTTCACTTCTCAATACCTCATCACTGACTTTTAAACGACGGAAGCTGTTATCTTCCAATGATTTGACTTGTAATGCTATGTGTAAGCGTGAAATGCCACAAAAACCCCATGAATTTACCCCCTTATTATCCACCCCATCCTGATCTAGATCTGATTTCAAAATTGTTTTTTAAAAGTCAGTTTTTCTTGAATCTTTGAAAGCAATGAGTTTCAAAAATGTTCAAATTTGGACTAACACTTATGAATACCCATAATTTCATCAATGAAAGGACATTCTTCAAGGCTTTGTTTGAAGTCAAATTTCAAGTAAGCTGCAGTGACACTTTTTTTCACAGGAAACTTTCCCAATAAGTAATTGAATACCATTTGAGATCCAATTTCCTCATTGAAGATCTTCTTCAGATGTTCCTCTCCAATCATTAATTTGTGATTGTCTGAACCAAGGAACTTCAGAACAATGTCATTCAAGCTGAACATAATTGAATATTGGTGGATAAAATCATTTGAATACGAATCTTTTACTGATGGAATCAAAATATCCCAAGCTGATTTCAAATTTTCAACAAGTTTTGATGCTTCAGAATCAGAGTTTGCTTTGTGAAAATTTTCATCATCAGTTTTTTTTAATTCATTTCCATATTCAGTTTCAACCTTGGAATTTGAGAACCATTTTGAAAGGATACGATTGATGTCATTCTGAATTGAAATAATGTTGTGCTTAAGTTTGTTTTTGTTTTCTTCAGTTATTTTATCTAACTTATCAACCTCCATGAGACATGTGTATAGAGGTGTCACAAATTTTTCATCCAACTGATCTTCTGATTCTGTATTTCAAAACCCAATAACCAAAAAATCAGTTCAAGTGAATACCTGGTAATGAAACATATGAATGCCATTTGTTCAGGAGTCAAAGGCTTGCCTTTTCTCAAACAAACCATTTCATGATTAGAATTTTTTGGATTCATCTTTCTAATCTGAGTCAAAGACAAAATCTGATTAATTCTTACCTTGTAATATCCCTTTATCTAAATGCTTTTCATGTTTGAAGTATGCAGAACGCCCCCCAGTTATCTCTAGATGCACGCTTTTCATCAGTTCTGCTCTGAGATGTCCAATTCCAAAAATTTAAACAGTTTTATCTTACTTTGACCTATTTCTTTCACAGTGAGACCTTCTGATGAGCTTTCCAAGATTTTGTTTGCATCTAGACCATTGAAATAACAGTGTTATAAGTAATCATAGTGGTATTCAATGCTTTATGAAAGGGGTCTATATTTCTGTGCATACCTTCCCTTCCTTGTAAAAGATTGAGCCTATCACTGCCCATGATGTATTCAACTGTGAGAAAGCATTCACTTTCTCTAACAACTCCCAGCAAGAAAAATTGCAGTAGGAAAAGATGTGAGAGCCAAAACCCTTGCATAAAGCTAGCACCCATATTCAGATGATTTGGAAAAGCGTGTTAGTACCTAGGAATTTTTTAAGCAAAGTAATCACAGTCAATGTCAGGGGCTTGGACACCAGTTGATATGTGCAGTCACAGTGAAAGATTGTGGTAACACAGCTAGTAAGACTGTAAGTAGCAGTGAGCAGGCCGTAAAGATAAACTTTGAGTAGCGTGAAAAATTGTTTGGCAGTGCATGAACCTATCTCCGTTAGGCGGCCAGAGTTGATGCTACGGATGCGCTTTTATGTCGTCAAGAGACCTTGTCCCAGGACTCTCTGGTTGTTTGAAATTTAAGTGTTTCCTACCGACTTATACAAACGCAGATGTAATGTCGTGACAGAAAACAACACGTTTGCTCCGGAAAGTGTAGCAAATCTGCTCCGGCGGGATTTGTTTGATCGATTCCCGCGAGTCGGGCTGACGATTCGACAGATTCTCGTACGTCGAGAGCAGAGCCAAAACCCAGAATGGCTGACGATTCAACAGTTTCTCTGACAGTTCGCTCGGCGCGACAAAATTCAGGATGATAAAAGGCTCAGACTGTGCTTTGGTATGCAACACCAACTCGTACCAAAAGCTTTCCCGGCAGACATGTGAGTGCAGCAGGCTGGAGATCCAAGACAAAGTCTCGGTGAGACGGAGACCCTGCGAGGCTCCGCAGAGACAAAAGCTTTTGGTGTGAATGGCGGCTCCACGTATGACATTTTCTTGCAAACCGCCTGTTTCTCATAGTCATACAAACACTCTTTCGTACCGATAGCCGCCCTGACATCAGGCTTGCCCCATATTGATACTGCCAGCCCTCAGCGACCTCCACCTACAGTCCTGGTATGTATGTGATTTCTGGAAATATACATCCTGGTAGTGCTGGTGGAGTATGGTATGCTGCTCTTGAGAATCTTGAGAGTGGGAAGGGGACTTTTACTGATTAAGACATCGCCATTTCAGTTTTTTTTTTTTGATTGAGGATTTATCATTTGATTTGAACTCGCAAAACCTTAACGGGTTCCAGGCAATGTTCCCTGGCGGCTCAATATTGTTGGTTTGCACGAGAAAAACGATGGAAATGCTGCCTGGAAACAAACAAACTTGGTGGAAATGTAGCAATATGGTCATGCATAAAACGGCTTGCTCCACGCGCTCTAGAATTGATGTCTTTGTCGGTGGAATCTGCATCTCCTTCACAATTCACGAACGCGCCCCTTATCACGAGATTCCAACGAGGAAGTAAAATTTTCATCGAGCTGGAAAGAAGTTGTTTCACGTTTTGCAGTCTTTTACAAGATAGTAAGCGCGACTCGCTTTCTTTTTTGGGTTTGTATTGAAGAGCTTGCTCAAATGCAGCATGTGGAAAAAGAAGACTAGGTCGGACATAAATAATATAGCTGAACCAAGTATAAAGAAAACACGTGCTGATTGAAAGTAGAATAGCATAATGTTTTTGATTCCTTTTTTTTCGTAACGAAGCCAGGTTGAAGAGCGCCAATTGTTCATGTTTTGAAGTATATCAATCCAGGGAGTAGGTGTACCGTGTATGCTGAGTTCAAAAATCGCCCGCAATGCATTCTTGAAGACGAGTGAAGGGTCGGTTAGAAATGAAGACGCCATTGCCAAGGCAAAGTTGATTACGCACCATACTCGTTGAGTGTCTAATAAGGCCCTAAGAGGTCCAAGTACAACCAATAGCGTCATAACAACCTCCCGAAAAGTTTCCATTGAAATCCGAATCCCCGGTGTCTTCCTCGTTCGATATGAAGGTTTTGTGGTGAGGCGGAGCGCCAATAACCACCTGGGAGAGGAGCAGTCCGAATAGAAACAGAAAGAATTGCATCTTTTTTGACTAAATTTTATAATATATAATTATAGGTTGTTGGTGGCACTTGTTAAAAGATGTGTTTAGTGGATTGGGCTGGGAGAAACAGCAAGAGTAAGCTCGAGCGGGGGTTTTTTTATATCTTCAGAAGCTCCGAATACAACTTGATCACCAGAATATGAATTTAAGCAACGATATCCTTACTCCGCCGATGGCATCAGCCAAAGGACGAAATCAACGAGCTGTGACTCACCCAGAAAGCCTTCTCCGGCCATTACGCGGTTGGGTTTTTGTAATTCATTATAAATTCCAAGCCACGTATATTCAAATGCGTGAGCACTCCGGTTCAAATGAGAGTCACTGTTCTTAGGATAATTAGTGTTCATGCAGGAGGCGGGGTTGGCGATATCTTATAATGAACATCGATTATCCTCAGAACAGTGACTCTGATTGAACCGGTGTTGTACCAGCCTTACCGCACTTCTAGTTGACGAACGCGTTGGGAGGATTTACAAGCGCTTTATCAAACGGCTTCATGAGATTGCAAAAAACTCGGTGGACGAGGCATCAACCGGCTCGCGCGTCGAAAATTAGCCAGAATGGATGGAGATATAGACAACTTCGGATGGCTTAAAAGTATCATCTTCCAGCTGAATTGTCATTCGTACAAATGATCCAAAGTGACCATCACATATCTTCAATCAATCAAGGGTAAAACGTCACAACAAAGTAGAAAGCCGAGAAGCAAGATGATTGCGTATCAAGTTCGTTTTCTTTCTTAAACATGTTGTGACTACATAAATATGCATCCCCCCTTTTTTCGCATTGTAATGTGAAGGTTAGAGTCAGAAAGGAAAACAGGAAACAAAGAGCGGGCACAAGCACAAGCAGATAAAGTAAGTCGCAGATAATAAGAATTTGAATGCATTGGCCGAAGACGATTGATAGATCAGTGGATTTTTATTTGTTTTTGTGTCCTTTGAGAAGCCCGGGTAACATTAACAAGGATGTCCGTTTCTTAGTTGAACTCGATTGATAGCCAAGATGGCTATTGAGAGGAATTCGCTATGGATTCTGGATACAAAGAGGTGAAGATTCAGTTTACGATTGTAGTTGTGTTGCAGAATAAATCGGTTCAATTCACCTCCAGGGTGCCAACTCGACACTCTAAGGTTGGCAGTGTTGCCCCTCCCATCTGCAGGGGGGCATCCACTTGACCGGGTCTGGTTTATACCAACCTTTCCCTGAATCCTCATCTTCTGCGCGAGGTCGTAGTTCTTTTATCGGGGCGGGAGAGCCAATAATTCCTTGCAAGACAAGAAGCGTGAGAAGGGCCTGAACAAGCATCTTTCTTGTATTGATGTGAGAGCTGAGTTAATAATCTTTGTGTCGGTAGGATATCTGGTGATTTTGTTCGATTGAGCTGGGCATAAAGGCCAGGTCCCAGGAGGGCCGGGGGGGATTGTCTTTTTATGCTATCAAGCTGTCCACTCAACAAATTATCGCCCATGGCAATACCAATCTTCCTTCATTTCCGAGGGCGTCAGCCAAAGACTCAAGATAGAATTAAAGAGCTCAATTGAGACTCCATAATTTGTATTTATACCGTTAAAGCCTCACTTGGCAAGCATATGTATGGGCGTGGCTGTTTGTTGCAACTTTGAGGTATTTATTATGTTGTACATACAATTTCGCCGGCTGGCGCTCCGAAGCCGGGAATGGGACAAGGCCGCTTCAGCAGTACTCTGCCGCTCCGATCAACACCGGCCGATTTCATCCAATCAGCCCAAGGCTGCACCCCGGGCACCTTTGTCGATCCCAAACGACCTGTACCGGAGCTTGATTAATCAGACGTGATGATACATGGGTGATTAGAAATCGACCTGTCTTACATAAAGTTGTTAAAATCGCATGGCAGTCCAAGCTGCATGTGGCCGTGATATGATCAGTGGAGTTTTCTTGGGAGCGGACGAGAGTCAACGATTCCTCAAAAAGCAAAAAAAGCAACACGCAAAAGAGCAGGTTGAGCAAGTGTTGCCTATGCCTCCATTGTGATCCAGTATAGAATATAAAGAGATGGTTTGGAAATAACCGATAATTACAATGTGGAGGATGAGTTTGTGAGTTTTCGGGAGTTATATATTTACTTGTGTATTTTGAATGAATGAAGAATGAATGTTGATACTGATACTCTGAAAGGAGCGGTCTGCCTGAGGTTGGTAGAATGAGATTGGAGACTTCAGCACGAGTATGATGACACATGAACCTATCAATGCAAGTCCCTGCGGGGCTCTTGTAGTCTACCAAAGGGTTTTGATAGGCTCAGTGACACTGGCCTTATAACATGATTGATTGTCAAGTACCATCACCCTGGGAATGGGTAAGTGCGTAGGGAATCCATTGAATGCGCGTTGTCATGTGTGCCAGCTATTATGCTCTCAGGTTATCTATCACAAAGACGACAAGCGATGAAGGCTTTCCTTCATTGCTCAAGCTCACGAATGGCATTGACATGTGGGACTGAAGAGCAATCAACCAAGATCAAAAGAGAGGAGACCTCTTCATCACAGAGCTTCTGTGCACGAAACAACCTTGAGGGTAAGGATGTAAAAAGCATGGAGACACAGTACAAGACATTTGATTTTTTTTTCTGTTGTTGGATAGAGAGGCTAGATACATATAATTCCCGATACAAGCCAGACCGACGTGAACATCACTCCAAATTCAGAGGGAGTTTTTCATTCCTTTTTTTGGTGTTGGAATTGCAATCTTGTGAGGGGGAGGGGGGCGAGATGTATATGGGAGGAGATCGATCCGGAAGGGTAAGGGAGTCATCATTCGATCATGTATGATGTCGATATCAATCAAGGGAATAATAAACCACAACAAACTAAAACAGAATCAGGTGAGAGAAGCAAAAACTGGACGGCCAGGTTAGAAAGACCCGGCGTGAGGTGAGAGCCGCGGGAGGTTCAAGGTGGGGAGAGAACTCTTCACGCTCCGAAACCGTAGAGGGTACGGCCTTGGCGCTTGAGGGCGTAGACGACGTCCAAGGAGGTGACGGTCTTGCGCTTAGCGTGTTCGGTGTAAGTGACCGAGTCTCGAATGACGTTCTCGAGGAAGATCTACGGACAGGCGGGGAACGCAAGAGCAGCCCGAGAGGAGTGAAATGTCAGATTGGAGCGCAGAGATAGGGGGGCAAGGGGGTGGACGAAACAGGGCTGGATCGATCGCTCACCTTGAGAACCCCACGGGTTTCTTCGTAGATCAAGCCAGAGATACGTTTGACACCGCCTCGACGAGCAAGACGACGGATGGCTGGCTTGGTGATACCTTGGATGTTGTCTCGCAAGATCTTACGATGACCTGGGAGGAAGGGAGAAGAGACATCAGAAGCCGAAAAGTGTTGGAAGCCAGAGCAGTTTACTAACGTTTGGCACCCCCTTTGCCGAGACCTTTACCTCCGCTTTTACCTCTTCCTGACATGATGAAGATTTAAGGTGAATGAGTTGATGGGATTGATGCAGTGGTGGGTTGAAATGTGTGGAGTTGTTGGTTGAAACTTGGCGGCTGGGCTGACGAGGGTGGGGAAGAGAGTCGCACGGTTTATATAGGGAGGAATGGAGTGGGAGTGTGGATACTCTATTCCCAACCTGCATTCCTTTGACTGAGCAAAGGAGGGAAAGCCGCAGCCTGCGCAGTCCGGGGCTAAACAGTCGCGCGAATATGCTCATAGCGAGTATGTAACCATCCTCAAACTTTACAAACTTTTCTTCTCCTTCTCTCCAAGCGAAACACGACCTTCCTCTCCTCAATGAGCCAGCAAGATATTCGAAATTATCAGAAAGAAGACGAACAACAGAAGAGATGATTATCGGATCGTTGATATTCTGTGAAAGTTGTGGAAACTTATTGTCACTACCCGAACACCATAGTCCTCAAAACTTAATCCGATGTGGCCATTGCAAACAAAGTCAGAAATTTCACTGTAAGCAAAAACATTTTCAATAGAATCCAGTAATTCGTTAATTTTTGACGCTAGATCTCTCCTTTGTTACGGTCGCAAAAAAATACATTTCAAAAAAAAAAAATACAATTCAAGTACAGGAAGAACTGGCGATTGTGACCAAGTCGAATCCTCATGCATTTCCATCAGTACTCCGTCAAAAACGTACACTAGTTCAACAGACAGCCAACTCGGCTGGACACCAGAACGATCCAGCTGCTGCCCCATTGGTCAGTCTGCATCCAGCCTTTTCTTCTCCGAGCAAGTCAACCAGAGGTCCTGACCTTTCCTCAAATTTTCAAATACGATTCCTGTCGTCTCAAAAAAAAAATCACAGATGGATGAAAGTTGTCCGAAGTGTCAACACCCTCAGATGAGATATCATACCCTTCAGCTACGGAGCGCAGACGAAGGAACGACGGTGTTTTACGAGTGTCCTAATTGCAGGCAAGCAAACTGATCCATACTCTCAACCTTTTTTTTTTCATCTCCTCCAGTCGCCCTTCAAACTAACGGTCATTCTCTTCGGCATCCCCACCTCACATTCATTCCCCGCGATCCTGCTGCACATACTTAGCCATAAATTTTCGACTAATAATTAATATGACTTCGAAGCTTTCACTTTCCATACATCTGATCACCACTTCAAACAGCCTCCCTCCGCCCATATTTTTTTCTTTCTCTTTTTTTGGTTTTCTCAGGAAAGTAAGAGATATTGATTTTGGTGAAAAAAACAGCACAATTTGAAAATAGTTTACATGATTGAGAGCATGAAGAGGACAAAATTGGCTACACTATTCTGAGAAGAACATTCCCAATCAAGAAAACGGCACAAGATCAGAAAGAAAGGAATATGAATAGATGAGGGAAATCCAACCAAGGATGACAATGTTGCTCATAATGATCCTGGTGGATCTGAAGTAAAGCTTCACAGATTAATTGGTGTTCAGTGGAGGAGTTCTCAGATCTTTGTTGGGGACAAGCATGATCAGCTTTGGCATCATGTACTTGGTATTGATTCTGCATTCTGCTATGAGAATTTCCTGTTAGTAGAATGAGGAGATTTGAGAATCAAAGAGAGCACATCTTGATGTTTTTGTGTGCAAAAGCATGTGGGTTACATTACTGTTGAGTTTTCAAGCTCCTTTACCTACTTCTTCCCTGAATTGACTCCAAATCTGTCTCTTCTCTTCCTCTTTTATTTCTTGAATCTTCCTTAATTAGACTCGATTATAGCCTTTAAGTAGCCTGCTTTCTGTGGCCTGAATTTACTCTTGAAGTCAATGAACCTTAAGTGATAGATCTTGTCAACAGCTCATGTCTCTCAAAGACTTCTTTTTTTTTCTAGAACTTGGTTGATTCATAAAATCTGATTGTTTAGAATTAACAACTCTTAAACATTTGTGGTTGAGTGTATGTTTTTTCATGGTTGATTTTCTAGCTTGACTAAAATAGACTGAGAAGGCTTGTCTGGTTATTTCTTACATGAACTCATATATTTTCTCCTCTCAGCTTTTTATTCAAAATCATTCCTTATTCAATTTCTTCTCAAACCACATTTTTCACCTTGTATTTATTAAGAGTTCACTATTAAACTCCTCTCCCCCCGCCACCTATCCCCCAAATCTCTCAGACTATGTACTCCCATTCCCCGTTTCGCGTCGCAGGCTGACGCCTGGACCGGCGGCTTAATGGCAATAGAGCCGAGCAAAAGCCAACCAATGGCGGACAGTTCCACTCATTACCACCTCACCTTTTATACCCTGAGCCTTGTAACTCAGTAGCCTGGAACAGGCAACTTATGGCAAATGATTTAACCATGCATACTGACAATGATTTATAAGCAGATTTCAATTTGCCCATTGCCTAATCCTGTCCCACAGCCATCTTTCCCCTTTGACTGACACCAGCAGTGGGCCGCTACGCTACGCTTTTTTTCATCAAAAAAGTGTAGTGTTAGCGTTTTTTTGCTACGCTACAGCGCTTTTAGCGGAAAAAGGGGCTAAAAAGCGCTGTAGCGCAGCGTAGTGGGCCCTTTTTTGCGGCCCACACGCGTAGCGTTAGTGGTGTTGTGGCAGAATTCCGCTATGCTACGCTTAGCGCTAACAGCAATTCCGCTGTGTTACGCTACACTAACTGCTACGGTGTGGCAGCAAGAGCGCACCTCGGCCAAAGCTTTGGCCGGTTTGTTTGGGGCGCATGCGGAATGCTTGCGGCTGATGCGTAAAGCAACGGGCTTTAGCAGAAAGTCTAGCTTTCTGGGGTGTGGGAAAGCGGGGAAAAGCAGGCCAAATGTGCAAGGTTCCAAAAAGCTTGCTGCGGGGAATCCGGGTACTGGCGGACTTTGGGGTTCACGGCCAACTGCGGACTGGAGTTTAGTGTATGCTGCGGAGGGGCTACAAGGGAGTGGGAGCACCAAGAGGCGGAAGCGGCGGTGGGAGACCTATCCAAGGGCGGCCGGAGAAGTACACTGACTGGCAGGTGTTGGAGGGGTGACGAACGGAGTGCGAGGGAGTGACAGTGGAGGACTGCGTGGGAAGCAGGAGGAAACTTGTGTAGGATAGCTGGCAAGAGTGGAGTTCGGAGTAGAAGGGGAAAAGGGGAAAGAAACTTATGACTCAGAACATATCAGAAAAACAGAGTGACTTAGGAGTGAATCGTGTATTAGCCTAAAGAATTGTTAGAGATAGAGAGAGTTAGAGTATTACTTACCAAAACAAAGAAAAGAATATTTATTTTACCTACCTACAAGACCATCAAGCAAGTTACCTTGGAAAACAAACCGGAGTAGGACGTGTTGCGGAGCGGAGAAGTGCAAGAAATCTCTGAGGGCGCGCCTTACTTTCCACAATGGTTAGTTTAGCGGCCCACCGTTGCTGACACTATCTTTAATCTGAAGTGACACACATCATTCAAATAGGCCGGAACAGGGAACTCAGCGCGACTTAACCGCCTTATTATTCACCAATCACTACTGAAAATGAGTCACAAAAGCCTTATCATATTCCCACTGCCTATTTCACACCCACAGCCATGGTCCCCGTTCCTTGCACTCCACTCCCCTCCCAAAATCCATTGCCTTTGGCTGACTATATTCTCCTCAAGTTGTGTTCTATTGGTCCTTATCCCATCTACTTAAGCTGTCACTCTTTCCTCGAACCCCGAGCCTTCCACGAACTTAACCACATCACATCCAATACTCATTATGCAACCATTACACCACCCATCCCCTGTCCAAGGCTGGTCAAACAGTCCAGAGAGGATGTGGCGTTGAGAGTCAAAGTGAGTATCTTCATATTCTACTATGGGAACTATAGCTGATTCAAAATAATTGTAGGTATGCATAATTTTAACTGGAAGAATTGGAGAGATGACACAGGATGAAGAGAGGTTAATATCAACTGATTTTAGGGTATAAGCACAAGTTGGAAGGTCTATGGGCGGGATAATAAACATACTGATTGATAAGTTATGTGGAGTGCAATAAAATCTACTCCTTACCTTTGATGATTTTGTATTGAATTGGAAGCTTTTAATAGTCTGTACTTAGAGTTCCTAATTTTAATTTCAGCCATAAGTAAATTGTTTAAATGAATAAAGAGGGTTTGGTTAATGGTTATTGCTTGAATAGCTTATGGCAAGAGTTAGCACCAAATCAAAATTTTAGTTAGAGTGAAAGTAATGCAAGTGGAAATAAGGCATCTGATTAGCGGGGCGGCAAAGCCGCCCTGAAACCCTAGTTCTATTTAAACTGATCTAGCTTAAAGGAATAAAAACCATTGGTTCTTTCATTCTTTTTTGGCAACTCTTTCTTCTCATCCCTAAAAAATCCTTCTATCACACCTTTCTGATTTAATGATATTTAGATGAAAAATTATTGGTTTTACTGTGAGTGGCACCTTTTTTCATTGTCTAGTGCTGTAATCCCTGTAGTCTTTGAGCCTGGGTCTAGTTTTTATCAATGATTATATGTTCCTGTCATCTTTTCATGCATGTGTCAAATTGTTATTCATTTCAATATTCATTTTTCTTCTCACCCAAATGTCCAACCTCTTGTATTATGTAGACTACTTAACGCCTAGTCTCCTCTAAGAGCATCTCCACCCGGGGAGCTAAACCGGGTTGCTATTCTGGGCGGGATGGCAACACAAAGTTGATGTTTGACAACCAAATTGGCCCTGGCAAACACCCGTGGTTGCTATAATACCTACCAGAGGCCTGTGAACGGGGGTGGGAGTGACACATGTGATGATTTGTCATCTGGGATTCACAAAGAAAACACAAGAGGTGTCATTGGATTGGTGACTTTCACAGGTGCTGATGAGTTGCTAGTGGGTTGCTGAATTTGACAACCGGATGACAATTTTTACCTCCCAAGGCAAAATAGAAACTCATTTAGCACCCCGGGTGGGTTAGGAATATTTGGGTTGGGTTGCTAAACGCGGGATAGCAACCCAGTTTAGCTCCCTGGGTGGAGATGCTCTAAGTAAAACACAATCGGTTCTCTCCTTCTTTTTACAACCCTCTGAGCCGTTCCAACAAAAAACATTTTTTGTTGCCAAAAATTATCCTCAAAAATTATCCCTTCTTTGGTCAATATTTCTTCAAAGCCTCTCCCATAAAAGAACCTTGTCTTTCTGGGCCCCCATCTCAAACATAATCATTTCTTTCACGCAACAGTCCAAACCTTCAACAATTACTCAGGATATATGGTACACCAGGGGAAAACTACATTCTTCCGTAGAAGCCTTCCCTTTTCCTTCTCTAGAGGGAATCTCTTTTCTTGGTTAGTTTTTTTTTTTCAATTCCTCTAAAACAGGATTTCATTACTTCTTTTGGGATCCCCTGCTCCTTGATTTTTGGTTTATCTACATATAACTAGAAGAAGAGGCTCAGAGAGCCAAACAAAGTGTCATGCAAACTGACGATGATGTTGACCTCCAATTCACATTTGTCTACACCAACGTTAGACTAAGACAGGTGTCCAGAAAGGGGCAAAAGGTCATTGAGTAAAGCCCATCAACATTTGGGGCAAAAACAAGGTCACCAAGTCAAACTCCCCAAAATGGGGGGCAAATACTAGTTGGCATATAATTAAAATATGTATTGGATTCATCTAGATGTAATGCTCAAAGACTTAGATGATGTTTACTTCTGTTGGCTAGGGGGGAATGCAATGATGCATATTCAGTTGATTGTTGTTTTGCCATAATCTATGTGGTTTCCTTTTGGGGTGAAAAACATGGATTTTGACTTTGCAAGCACTGGATTTCTCGATTTCTTCATGTGACTCTTACAATCCAGGGTTCCGGCCTGCTCCGACGAGTGATCAAATCGATCCTCGGGCGGATCTGTTTAGAGGCTCGGACAGGAGGGGATCGATTTCCGGCTACTAGAACTTGTGATGTGCAGTTGAAAGGTTCAGTTTCTTGTGACAGGTCCACATTCGCTAAAATCGCGCAGGGTGAGGGATTTTTCTTAAAATGGAAATGTATCGATTACTGAATTCCGGTGACAGTTTGGGTGTTTTGTCTGTGGTTTCTACCAGTTTTGTACCGTTTTCGACGTGGCTCGGGTTTCAGCCGCCAGACTTCCCATGAATTTCCGAGTGGTCAGGAAGGGGAAAGCAGCAAGCCGAGTATACTAGGAGAAAGAGAACAACAAGACCGATAACAAGCTACTTCTAATAACCAAACCATCCATCCCATAACCACACTCGATCCGATTGACTCTCCAAGATGCTATCCAACGCTGCCAACCGACTAGTCATCCTCCAACGGGCTATCCAGACCCCTCACCTGTTGCCTACAGCCTCCTCAAACCTGGCCTCGCTCGGATTGAGATCGGGCTTGAAAACCGTTGGAAACCGAAAGCTGGCTACCGTCGCCGTCTCAGCCGATCAGTCTTCTTCTACCTCCAGCACTTCCTCCTTGCCTTCGATCAGTAATGTAAATTATTCATCATAATCTCTCTTCAAAAGATACCCTAGCAGAAGAAGAAGAAAAAAAATGAATTGTGGACAATACTACAATCACTTCTGTGTGGGGTGTGTGTGGAGTGACAGCGAAAAAGATGAACTGATGATCGTGGTTCACTCCTCCTTAGATCGAAGCTGCATGGAAAGAAATGTCACCGCAAGAACAAGAATCCATCTTCCATCATCTCGAAGGATTACAAAAGAAAGACTGGACTCAACTCAGCCTTGACGAGAAGAAAGCATGTATGTCTCACCCCATTTTGGCATCTATCTATTTCCACATTCCACAGAAAGAGGAGAAGAAAAAAAAATCACCCTACATGAGGTCATTTGATTGACCAATTGCCCTCTGCCCTTTGAATATTCGACGATCGCTTTCACATCTATAAAACTCCACTGGAGAATCTTCAGCTTACTGGGTTTCCTTCGGTCCCCATGGCCCTCGTGAGCCCCTTCACGCCCCTGGCTCAGGGATCAAACTCCTTCTCGGGATCACCGGATGTGTGTCGGCTGCGATCGCCTTATTTGTCCTGATCAGATCTGCTTGTAAGTCCGAGCGACTATGCTCCCCATCAAGGAACAAAAAAAGCTCAACCGATCATTCCAGCAACAACTAACTGACGGTATCAATTGTTTTTCTCGCTCGGATTCAATACAGCCCCTGACCTCCCGAGAACTATGACTAAGGAATGGCAGGAAGCTGCGACTGAACGCGCCATTGAACAGAAGATGGTTGGTCGGGTTTCCCCTTACTGTGTTCTCCAGTGCAATTCTGACCGACTGACTCAAAATGATATATTTCCTTAGGATCCATTCACTGGTGCAAGTGCTCAAGGCGAAAAGGTAAACTCCTCTTTAATCATCTGAATGAAGTGATCATACCTTGCTTCTGAACTCCTTATTGACTTTTGCATTTTGTTCTCTTTCTTTTGTTTGAAAAAAAAAAATGGTAATTAATGAAAACTTTCTTTGTAGGCCAAGACTTTTGTCCAATCTAAATAGAAGAATATCTCTTGTTTTTGGAAAAACGAAAAATTGCAAAAACATAACTGAAAAACAAGCGCTTTGATTGTGTTATAAATATATAATTAATTCGGCCTTTTCAGGCAAATTAGAAGAAACAAAAAAACAAGGCCACACAAAAGAAAATGAAAGATATTCAACACTTCTTTTCTCTTTCTAACATAATCCTACCCATCTTTTTCTTCATCATCAATAGAGATTACTACATACAATCAAACACTTCCAACAAGCAAAACTAAGCAGCGTAGTTCATAACCTGATGCCCAAAGATTCTTTATTTTAGAAAACAAAAAACAAGAGGATCTTTTTTGTGAATTGATTTGTTTTTCCCCTCGGTGTTCCTTTTTAATCTACCTTTTTCTTGGGGGGTATGTATTTGGGAGTAAGACCTGATTTTCAATGCCTCCCGGGCCAATCTCTTCGTTACTTTTTTTGCTGCTTTTAGAGATCATGTCTTGTTGCTCGGTCTTTTCCTTGGGCTTTGATTCTACGATGTGGGTTCTTTTGCTTGTGTTTGTTTTGCTTATCTTCTATTGAAATCAATTAACAGCAAGCAACCCCTTCTAGGACTTAAGCCACGCTCATACACAATTTGTTGCACATATTTGTTGTCTATGTTCTTTTACATCTTCGGCCAATCACTTTGTTCATATGGGATCTCTTGCCAATTTATTCTAGCTTAACAGAGCCTCAGCCAGGCGCGAAGTCGAGGTGTGCAGAGCAGCAGCCCTCGACCGAACACCTCGACAAGGTTTCCTTGCTTGCCTCAATGGACGAGGTACTTATTCAAGTTAGCAATTTGTTCGGGTCAAGTCATAGTGCACCATTCCACTCCAACTTCGCCCCGTGAGAATTAGGACTCATAAAATGATTAAGGGAGAAGGAAGGACGGAGAACCAGATTGTTAATTGGAGTTGGCCTGGCCAGATGGAGTCCGGACCTCCCCCAGTGCCGGCGGGTGCACCGGGCTCCGAAGGGTGGCCGTCCCGGCCAGGCGGTGAAACGTCAGACTTGACTTGCTAGGGGCGGGACGGGCCTAGCCTTTTCCACCTCGCCAACACTGATAAAAAAAAAACTAATTTACAGTGTGGCAGTGGCAACGAGCCTCTGAGACAAAATAGAAGCATTCCGGTGAGACCCTTCCGGAGCGGCTCCGGCCTGGCATCTGCCACACCCAAGCTGGGTCTGACTGGAAATCTTTTGGCACATATGGTTTTATTGAGTCATGCAGTCCTGCAGTGCTCTGCTTGAAAATCTGACACCAGCCCTTTGCCGTTTCTTCCCTCCTTTTAATCACGCGCAGTAATTGTGACAAGTTTGGCCGGGTCAAACGAGTTAAACGTGTACTCCCGAACAGACGTATTTCCTCATGTTTTGCTGTGTTTTTTGGGGGGAAATTTGAAACAAACACTTTAGCCCTGGTTCATTTTTATGGTGGGCCAACCAGACTGCACTGCAATATACAATAACGGTGATAAATATATGAATATTGAAAAGATGTATCGCTCTCTCCATCTGTTAGATTTGGTTTGAAAAATCTGAACATAGGCAAGTATTGATGCAGCGCTTACCTTTGAGACACTTCCCTCACCAAAACATACGAACATATCGGTAGCGTTAAATCCGACCACCAGAGTCAGATTGGTTGGTGCTTTTCCCAAGCAAAGATAAATTAAAGTCTACGTCCCAGAGCCGCCCGGTGACTGGATAAATCAACTTGTGTTCAAGCTCTTAACCACTGTGCTCCCGAATTTCTATCTTTATTTATAGTTAAAGTTTAACTGCAAGGACAACTTCCATTTGATCAGAAGATGGGTAGTGATCATATTCGGCAAGCATGGTCTTTGCGTGTTTGTCTCTTACAGATTTGCCTGGTAGCTTTCATTGGGAAAAGCACCTGCTTCATAGAAGTACAGAAGATCCTGGGATCCACTGATGATCAATGGTTGGGTTATACCCGCGCAAGACTCTGTATGTAGGGGGGATCTAAAATTCTTATGCGAAGCATCGGCTCAATGAAAAATTGAATTTGGGACTGTTGTTACTGAATCTTTTTTTTTCAGCCGCCACACAGACCTTGGGCACTTCCTTTGGACTTCTACCTCCAAAAGCGCTTGGCCAGAGTAAGAGGCGATCGTCCTTATCAATTTTTAACAGGACTTCAGAGGTTTAACTGAGTGCGCAAAATACGCCTTTATATAGGGATAACTGGGGATCGTTCCTCACTATTCAAGTCCTCAGGTTATTGGGGTCAAAATGAACCAGGTATGTATGATCCAAATCAACCAACTATTGTATGAGTAAAACTGATTAAACAACTTCTTTGTATATAATTCCCATTTTGCAATTCCTGATGTGAAAAATCTTGATGATAGGCAAGTCCTTGATCCGATCAGATTATTGATAGTATCATCTTCATTTGAGCTGAAAGAGATTGATTTTTATTATTTCAATACAGAATCAGAGAAAGACCTCTACAAGAAATTTTCTGGGCTTATCCACTCATATTTTCAAGACACCATTGGATTTTCTATCCCAGAAGTTGAAGATATAGTTCACTCAATTCAGAATGACATCAATCATTTAATTGAAAAAGCTTTCCATAATGAGGGCACCAACAAACAAAAATCTAAAACAATGGCAATAGAGTTGTATGGGGTTCAATCCCAACAAGAAGGAAAGGAAAAGTTTGTACCGGGTGATCTTGTCAGCAATTTGAAAAAGGCCTGGGATATCTTGGAACCTAAAAGGGATTATAAATTGATGTTCATGTTGAGTGACATTGTGTTGGAGTTTCTCTTTGCTTCAAAGAAACACAACTTGATTAGCAAAGAGTCACTGAGGGAAATAATGAATACAGAAATTGGGGTTCAAATGATATTATATTACATATGGGGAAAGTTTCCTTTGGATACTTCTCTCACAAAATTATACCTAAACTTTGACTTCAAACAGAGCCTTGAAGGAAGCCCTTTCACACAGGAACTGATGGATTTCTTAGAGTGTTAGTCTCACTTGATTGCCAATTCAAATTGAAATTCTGAAAATTAATGCTTTATTTTATTTTATTTTATTTTTTTTTTTTAAAAACCTTACCTGTTATTATTTCTCCTTGCTCATAGTATGGAAGCCAGATCCAAAAGAACAGGTGCCAAAAATCCAAAGAAAACTTAACTGGAGTTTTCAGAGGTTATCTCAATTGTATATCTTGATCCAATTCAAGGGATTCAGTGCACTTTGGAGATGCTTGGATGGAACTGACTTGGATCTTATCAGAATTTTCTTGAAATTTACATCTCAAAACTTCATGGAAAAGAGCAGCATAATAAGCTTTGAGAGGAACATGGGATTTTTAACTCAAAAAATATGCAACCATATGACTAAAATACTAGGAAGAGAATCTTTTGAAGGGGATGAATTTAAACATGACCTTATAAAATTGAAGATTTTTCATAACCTATTGAGGCATATTACAGAACATCACTTGAACAAAAGTTTAGACAAGAAGACTTTTATCATTCAAGATTTAGATAATTATCCTCAAATTGAAGCTCTTGAGGCTACAATGCTGGTAGTATCTGAATCAATCAAGTCTATATACATCAAGTATGGTGAAGTCTTTCACCTGTCAGAATCAAACATAGACTTGAAAAAACACTCTGAATCAGAGGATTATATCTTTCTTACAGATATCAAAGGACATGAATATGTTCCCTTATTTTCCAGGATTTATCAAAGAACCATGCTAGAAATTGAGGATCAAAAGGCTCAATATGGGATCAAATCTTTGTCTCAATTTATAGGAGGTGCTTCATTTTTTGAAAGCCTAGTTACACACAGCTTTGAGACAGATCATGATCAGGAGACGGTCCTTCTAATCAAATTACTCAAGCAACTAGGTGATATATGTTACGCTAAAGCTTCAAACAAGATTTCTCTTGGTCAAGATGTACTTTATCCTGACGATTCAATGACATATTCCATGAGGCAAACAGAAAAAATATTTGAAAAAATAAAGAACATGTTCAAATACACAAATTCAATAAGGGCTAACTTGTATGGAAAGTTGGTAGATAATGTTTATTCTTAGAGTATTTATCAAATATTCCATCAAAGATGAAGCACCAAAATCCAAAATTTACCACTTAAATTCTTTCAAGGAATATGACAGCCTGTTTTATTTATGCCAGGCTTTTGGTATTGGTTTTCTTTTGATTCTTGAATTTTCTCATTCAATATATATCACACAAAAACAAAATGTCTACTATTGGTCAAAATACCATTTTCTTGGATTCAATTTTACATTAGGTTTCGGGGTTTTCAAATTGAAGTCTCTCAGATGAAACAAAAATCAGGAATGATGATTTGTGTTATCTGTCCCAAATCCGATTTTCTTTGTACATTCCAGCCCCTTGTATTGGGGTAACATTGGAGGACTTCCCATGCAAACTGGAGCCCTCACAGAAGTCGGTCTAGACTTGAAAACTCTAGATTCTCACAGGGGAATTTGGTTTTTGAGGCTCTAGATTGGTTCTGGGGGACCCGCAGATTCCGACGGGAAGTCCTCCATTCTGTTTTGTCCACCAAATTAGTCTCTTGCACAAATTACTTCATGTCTTTCCAGAATCTTTCAAGTTTATTGATTTACACAATTTATTCCCAAAAAGAGAGATCATATCTGCTATCTGTCCTATGTATGAGTCAAAGGAGTTCAAACTCTGAAGAATTGGAGTGGCCCTTAGGTTCAAAATGACTTGCAAATTGCAAACAGATGGCCCAAATACCTTATTTTGCGCGTCATGATCAGTGCCACCATTGCAGTCATGTGTACAAAGTACCAGCCACTTTTGTGCCACATCCAAACAGATTTTTCAGTAAAAATCCACATTGAATTGCAACTTCTCTAAAATGTTTTTTCCATCGGCAGTACGGGCAGTGCAGCCTGGATCATGAGCTCGAGAATATAAAATCAACCCAGTTTTCTCTCTTTCGCCTTTCTTTACTTCTTGCCACTACATCCATTGAGCCCAAACCAAGAAAGATATCTGATCAGTCGTCTACCAAAGTTTAAATTAAATCAAAATGCATCTCGCTCTAGTCTTTCTAGCCGTGATAGTTATCTTGCAAGGGGTGGTTGGTGCGCCGGGGCCTAAAAACCTCAGCACCCTGGTAACTCGTTCAGCGGATCGATCGAAAGCAGCTTATGACGGGAGAGGCGACGACGGCGGCGACGATAAGGGCGGAGGCAGCGAGGGCGACCCCTTATGCAAAAAAGACCCATCTTGTGCCTTATGACTTGGTCAGTATTGTAGGACTAGCCTCCGCCGAGGTTGAGGCTTGGCTCAAATTTCCTCTACAATACTACATCGATCTTATACTGACTTTCACATCAGTTTACGTGCTTGACCATACATAGGACACCAAGCTCTGTCTTCTCCGCTCGAATGGACGTTCTGGGTGGACTTGGACTCCGTTCTTCATGAATCATAATTACCCATGTAGCTCCTAGCTTTTGATCACATACACGCACGAAAGCTCCGAGTCCCAACAGTTTTATCACTTCTTTACTTTCTTATCAACCTTGGTTTTGATTATTTTTATTCATGAATCACTTGATACAAGATTTCAGTAGATCCTAGTGATCAACTGATCCCGGGAACCGTTTACTTCTCAGCCAGCTACTCTTTTGTTTCAGTCTTATCTTGCCTGCTTGCAATGGTTGGAGAAAGTTGCACAGTTAGTTTTCGGCCACAAAAACAATTAACTGGACAATGCCATGAATTCTCAAAGACATAGGCAGCCAATCAAGATCTGTTGTGACGGGACCAGCATCCATGGTATGTGGCTAGAGTGGGTCATACTCAGGGATTTTCTTTTTTGAATGTAATTTGGCCTATGGCAGTGCAGACAAATTGCATCTAAAGAGATCTAAAGAACATTAATCTGAGAGAAAGACAACAGCCAAAACAACCTTTAAGGCTATGTAGTGATTTGAAAAGATACAAGAAAGTGATGCAAAGCACAGCTGAGCAAAATGGGCAGAGCAGAAACAAAGGAGAGAAATAAAACCAAAGATACGGAGAGATGCATAATTATTCGAGGCATATCAAAGAGTTGATCAAGCAGTTGTATCCGAGGTGGGAGTCTTTCATGACCCGTTTTCTGGAATTAGTTTCAGTCTCAGGGTCGTCGTCGGGTGTCCGATTTGGGACGTCGAGGGCTTTTTCTCCGGCCAAAAACAAGCTTTGGGCTGTGAATTCCGCCGGAGAGCAAACAACAACAACAACAACAACCAACACACCCAAAGCTCAAGCAGTCAAGAAGGACAAGATGACCATCACCGACAACCACCCTGCTCAAACGGTCCTCCTCATCGGCTCACCTCGGTCGATCAAGGACGGAACATACACCGAGCTGATCACTCGCTTCGACAACCAAGGCCCATCGACAATCATCGAAAAACAGCTCTGTGACCGGATCTCTGATGGTGGTAAGTGCCGAAAAACCTCACCTGGACAAGGTATTCACTCCCAGAGGGCTTCTTCCAACCGTTGACTTTTTTTACCGAATCTCTCAGCTACAAGTTTATCACAGTCGCACTTCGATGCCATCCATCTGGTTGTCGATGCAAATGATTTATCGCTGGCCAATTCATCCCATTCGCCAGCAAGTTTCCTCGACTTGATTGTCAGGGCGCTCAAGCCTCTCGGCCAGCTGACATGGTCCACCCAATCGGGCCTCAGCGAGATCGAATCCACACTCAAACAATCCTCGGTGATGGCCGACGTTCAAGTTGTTTCTGGTCCTAATGAATCCCAGGTCAGTCTCTGGCCCTCGTTGACCTGTTTCACACAGTCCAACATCTCTAACTTCATTGCGTTCTTCTCTTCACCCAGCTCGTCAGAGCGACCAAATCTGCTTCCACTACCTCCAACTCAGTCTTGATCAGCCTACCCAAAAAGTCCATCAAAGCATCCCTATGGTCTTTCACAACAGCTCAGCCAGAAATGATTGACGACTCGAGTCTGTTGACTGAAGAAGATCTGAAGAAGCCAAGCACAATGACTACCGAAGATTGTAACCCGAAGAAAGCTAAGAAGGCCTGCAAGAACTGCACCTGTGGATTGCGCGAGTTGGAGCTTGCACAGGACAACGATCTCCCCGCTCATCTTAAAGCTCCGGGCTCTGAGCTTCCTTCTCAGCCTACTGACCCCTCCAAACTAGTCGTCAATGGATCCGCCAAAACTTTCACAAGTAGTTGTGGTAGCTGTTATTTGGGAGACGCCTTTCGGTGTTCCAGCTGTCCTTATCTCGGTCAGTCGCCTTCCGCTTTGCTCCCCTGCTTTTTCTTACCCGTGCGAATTTTTCTGAAGCACTCATTTTGATATCCGATCTCGCTGTTCTCTTCAATCTATCCGTTCTCTTTTTTTACACAGGTATGCCTGCGTTCGAACCCGGCCAACAAGTCAAATTGACCGCGGAGATGGGAGATGACATCCAGATTTAAAACCTACCATAGTGTGATTACTTGCTATGGGTTGTGTCTGTTTTACTGTGTCCCTGTTTTCTTTTCTTCGTCCCGATAAACAATAGAGTCTCACTCGAAGGTACTCTCTTCCATTCCCCACCCCATCGGTCCCTTCGTTATGTGCAACTGGTCTCTTTCACTTGACCTGACTCGTTTAAACACTACCCCGCAAAAAATCATCACTTTCAAAAAAAAAAAAACATCTCCATGGCTCGGACTTCCCAGTTTTGTTGTTCCCATCGACAATCAATCAATCTATCGATTCATTCATCTCGGAATCATCTCTATGTACCCCGTTTTCCTTTTCATCGCTCTTACTGCAGTTTGTATACATCCACATACTACTACTTTCTTTACTTTTACTTTTCTTTTTTTTTCTGGAAACATACTTAATGGCGCATTCACCATCACTAGACAATTGTCTGGATAAGGCCGGAAACGCCGGGTTTTACGTCATCGCCAGGCACTGTAGCTCAGTCGGTAGAGCACCTGCTTAACACCATCGTGGCCATTTCACAATGTTCATCATATGAAGTCCGCAGGTTGTCGTCGGTTCGAGCCCGGCCAGAGTCAATGTTTTTGTGTGTGGTCAAGTCTTGTTGAACTTGACTGTATATGTATCATGGAGAAATCTTGCTGTTGAAGGAATTTTGAGGTGTTCATGTTTTCTTAATTTTAATGAATTTTGTATGCACATGCTTAGTGTCCCTATTATTAGTCGAGCTCAGGATTAAGCTTTTGGATGCTCTTTTTGATGAAAAAAAGTTTTCCTTGTTTGTTTACACAGCTTGGTTACTGGATTTTGTTTGTACCAAGTGTGATTTCAACTATTTTTAAGCTTCACAGCATGCTGGCCATGCAGCTACTTAGTACTGGGTTGGTGGGATAAACAGCTTGACAAGAAATATGCATTGACTGATTTTCTATATAACTCTTGCCAATATTGGGTGGTCCTCTCCTTGTCAGTCAATGGATGAGAAAACAATCTGGTTTAACAATGTTAAACCAGATAGTTTTTTTGTCATGTCAAATGAACATGACCAGAAGATCATCATAAAACTCATGGCACAACAAGTTTAATACAACTGAGAGCTTGTCCCAATACTAAATAAAGTACATCCTATATTTTTAGTAATTCTGTGAAAAAAAATCCAAATAAAACTATCATTCATTTTTCTTGGTTGGTAACACACCAAGGAGGACGAAAACCAAAACTACAGCAAAGACCGAATTAGCCCACTTGAACTTCACATGGGTGCAGATTGTTTGAAATCAAAATATTATGTAACAAGGAAAGATTTATTTAAAGGGGTATTCAAAGTCTTTGTGGATTTAATTTGCCTTACTTGAAAAATTGATTTTTAACCAATATTGTCATGATCATCAGCAAATAGAAAGTATGCATGAACAATGTAACTTAATTTAAAGCCCTGTGTGGCACTGGCTCATCATCAGATGTCACACAAATGATACCACTACCAAATGGACCAAGACCTCCTGTCCAAATCTGCAGGCCTTCCACAATTAATTTAGAGCTTTGAAAGCTTGATTTCCCCTGCCAGAAAAATCAGACTTTTTGGGTCTAAATCATCATCTGCAAGGCCACAGATACATCTTGCTTAAGATCTGGCAGTCTCAACCTTAACTTAGACAAAAAAAGATCAAGTGATGAGATGTCTTGATTCTATGCAAATGCCAAAAAGTCACCCTATGTGGAGAGGGAAGTGACTAAGCTAGGGGTTGTTCTGCTACGTTTGGATTGTGGGGTATTTTTCTTTAAAACACTCTATGTTCAGAATTGTGATACAGATTGATATATCAAGATTCTATCTGATCAAGGACACATGGAGCTGAAACCGTCTTCCTCCTCTTCAAATGTATTTTCCAATCTAAAATCTGCCTGATTCTTCAACCATGAGCCACCTTGAGTGCTGCACGAGGACGAGAAAAAGATTAGCCTTTGTTGAGTGCAACGTCTGAGTTGGAAGAATGTTACTCTGCATCGGATATAGCTACCCATCCCACAGGGTACAGACGATGTTAAATAAACAAGCAGTTCAATATTTCAAACTGGTTCCATTGCAGCCCAAACTTCATTCGGAGGCTCGGACTCCGGAGGTTGTGTAAGGAAACATTTGCATAGTAATAGTTGTTCATGAGTTGGTACTTTCAGGAATGTCCACGATGAATCATACGTGCTCTTTTTCATAGGCAAGCTTCTCAACTTCTACCCTGGAACCAGTTGATGAGAAAATACATACCGAAAAGCGATTTGATAAGGGTTTTCATTCAGACGACCTCAAGAAAATTTGTTTGAGGATTTGTACAAATCTGTTATACAAGTGGGTAACCCTTGGCCATCTTCCCGATAATCATTCTCGTTATTCAAACTTGCCGTCATTTTGAGTCTAGCGGCAGTCCTTAGAGGGGCAGAGGTGAGTAGGGACACATCAATACAACTTTGAAGTAAAGCTGAGTGGCCGATGACAAGAACTGTCCGTAGTACGAGCGGCAAAAAAAAAGAAGGAAGCTAGGGAAGTCCATAGTCCGACTGAGGGTGCATATAGGTTTATTCGGATTCTGGCCGATTGAGCAAGGAGGGAATTGGATGGAGGGCTGAGCTGACTGCTGGCGGGGGAAGTTCCCCTTGAGCGTAGACTGTAGCCAAGCCCAAATTTCAAACATTTTTTTAATTTTAATTTTTCAAGGAATTTACATAAACTGCTTGGGTTTCCCATTCTTCCTCCTTCTCATCAACCATCCTTCTCACCCACAACCATCTTACTACATATATCCTCCCATCAGACGCGCTCCCCCTGAAAACCAGGCTCACGAACTTACGAACGGAGAAAACACATCATGGAAAACTACAACAGGCTCGAGAAGGTAAGCTGTCTTCAAATGGCCACTCATCGTCACCGAAATCTATCTGACGCTCTATCATGAAACATCTTTGGTCTGTCATGACCCTTTTCGCACTCTGTATCACGATCAGGTCGGGGAAGGTACGTCAGACCAATCGGATCGCGAGAGCCAATCGGAAGTAATCCATGGTGTACTTATTTCTCTCTGGTCTCTGGTGTACAGGAACGTATGGTGTAGTTTACAAGGCCAAGGACCTCCGAACGGGCGAGATCGTTGCATTGAAGAAAATCAGACTCGAGGCTGAAGATGAAGGCGTACCCAGCACAGCAATCCGCGAGATCAGTTTATTGAAGGAAATGAATGATGAGAATATTGTCCGGTATGTCCCCGCCCCATCCTTCCTCTGTTCCACTTTTCTACCCAGCCCTGTCTGTATGAACACCTTTTCACTAAAGCTCAGTCGCGTTACTCCTCCCCATTTTTCTATTTGCTCTTTAGACTTTTGGATATCTGCCATGCCGAAGCGAAACTCTTTCCTGGTTGTTTGAATTTTCTTGATCTCGATCTCCAAACGTTACATGGGATAAAATCCGGAGATGGAGACGGATTGGTTCTTGCGATTGTCAAAGTCAGTAATCATTCCAAATTTGATTCTAGCACTTGGAAGGCTTTTAAGCAATCACTTGGCTGACATATAACTTCCCAAATGGCTTTACATTCCACTCAAACGCGCCTCAACCGAACACTTTTCCTCCACATTTGACATGTTTTTCTCAGAAATTCTCCTACCAACTATGTCGAGGGGTCTGCTACTGTCATGGTCACCGAATCTTACACCGAGACTTGAAGCCACAAAACTTACTGATCGACAAAGACGGCAACTTGAAGTTAGCCGATTTTGGATTAGCACGAGCCTTTGGGATCCCTCTTCGCAGTTACACCCACGAAGTCAGCCAGTCTCGATTATTCCTGACACGATGAATACTTTCACGTCATGGAAAACTACAGCTGAACACTCCGTATTGTCTACAGATCGTTACCTTGTGGTATCGTGCCCCTGAGGTCCTATTAGGAAGTAGACATTATTCCACGTAAGTATTCCTCTTTGTCATGCTTCTCACAATAGTAGCTGGATTAATATCTGAATTGGTCTTGTATTGTTCTGTAGTGGTGTTGATATGTGGTCGGTGGGATGTATCATAGGTGAGAAAGACAAATACTCTTTCCTATACCCAAGAACTCCAAAACTAAATTATTTTTTTTATTTTCAAATTCTCTCTAATCTTTAGCCGAGATGATTTCCAAACAACCCCTATTTCCCGGCGACTCGGAAATCGACGAAATTTTCCGTATCTTTCGGTCAGTGTTCCTCTTTCTGAACCTTATCTGTCAACCTGAACTGAGCCTGACCACACTTCCCTCTTTTGCCTGGCAAAACGTTAATTTGTTCATCATTCTTAGTCTGTTGAGACTCCTTACGAAACTACCTGGCCTGGGGTACAAACGTTACCCGACTACAAGCCTGGATTTCCTCAATGGTCTGCGAAAGATATCGGCTCCCATGTCCATAATTCTACCGCGGTCAGCGTGGATTTGATAGCTGTATGTAGCTTCACTTCCAATCATCACCAATAATTTTTATTTGTCGAATAATTTTATTGATAACTTGAACACCATTGATAGAAAATGTTGGTATATGATCCGGCAAAACGAGCCTCGGCGAAATCTTCATTGAAGCACCCATACTTTGTAAGCACCTTGGACCAACCAAACCCATGACAAGCTTCCATTTCTTCCTCGTCATTAACGTGTTATGTGGTTTTTCTTCATGTGTTCTGGTCGTAGGATGGGACGGAAACATAAAGACATCGTAGAATATATGATCAGACGTTTTCCTTCCTCGACTCCTATCTCCTGTTCCCTTTCACATATTTATTTTCCGGATACACATACATGTCCCCTGCCCTTGTTTTTTTTCCCTTTCACCCAATATAAATGACTGTCATTTTTAGTAAACCTCTTCTCTTTGGAGAGAAGATTGTGCTATTTTTGTGTATAGACATAAGAAAAAAAAATCAAATACATACTTCAACATCCCATTTTTGTTTTTGTTGTGGCTCTATTTTTGGGGGGATAGTCATTGTTTTCCTTCTCTTCTCTTCTCTTCTTCTTTTTTTTCTTTTTGAAATAATACCTTACTTCTCCATTGTGGTCATGTGTTGAATTGGATAGTCTGGTCAATTGCTTTCCTAGTTGGAAGAACGATGTTTTCTCCAGTGACATCTGAATGCAACAATTTGATCACTTGGGACTAGTTGAGGCTGTGCAATCCTATTCGGAAAACTATTGCACAGATTTCTCAATTTTATGCTAAAAACTAACTGGTAGTGATGGCTACCCATACCTTTGATACCAGGGACAATTGATCCCGATTGGAGCCCGATGCTTTCATTGGTTCATCTCTATGGAAACCATTCCCGATCTATCGATCGCGATTTGAACACGCGTCAGTGGGCCCTGGGTACATGACCAACAATTTGGGCACTGCCAGCATCCATTCTGGCCTTTGGCTTAGATCAAGTGTAGTATCTGTTCTTATCAGTGTAATTACTGGTATTGGTTCATTGAATCAATCAACTAATTACTCTCATCTTTGAGATGCCCTCAATCAACACCCAGCTTGCTGGACTGGTTGGGATGATGGCCTTGGGCTCACACTACCCCTTGTGCTGTCAGGCAATTACCCCTTTTTGCCTTCCTAGTCCTTTTAATTGCCCCAACATGCCTCCAGATAGCAAAAGTGATTACAGCTAACCCAGAAAGGCTTGCAACTTTGGTTTGCAAAAAATACAAAAAAGTCCACCAAAAAAAAAATTGGTCTAATGTTGCCTGCAGCTGTCAAAATTTTTGAACAGAACCTAGATGACCATATATATTTGAAAATGATATACGTACTTATGAATCTACCTCCTTGTTCAAATGCAGCTTTCATGACAGCTACCTACAGCTAAGAATCTCACAATTTTTTATTTTTTGGTAACAATTTTTTCTTAACATGTGAAAATTGGTATATATGACAAAAAAAAAATGAACAACATAGATTGCCTGTCTAACCCGCATAAATGTATGCCTATTCAGAGGTTTTTGTAAGGGCATAATTATGCCCTTATACAGGGTTTTCTGCATGGGCATAACCCTCCTAAGGGCATACCAATGGGCTTCTCCCGAGGGGTATGCCCTTAGACAGGTTTGAATGCAGTATTTTTATATTTTTTTTGTTCACCTCATCTAACCATTCTTTTTTTTAAAAAAAAACACTGAATATCCAGTTTTTTTTACTCCATATCCAGTACTGGATATGAGGTAGTGTTGAAAGTGTTAGTCTCTCTGACAAAAAAGAAAGGTAACTCTGAAGAGGAAAATTTGTACAGAGAAGTTGAATTTGATGTGTAACTAAACAAAAACTTACTTGAGCATCAATCATTCATGTGTTGGCATTGAGCTAAACAGCATCAAAAACAAATGGGAATACATTTTTAAACCACAATCATTTATGTTCCAACAAGACCATAAAATCAGGCAATGTAACTAAGGAGGGTACCAAAGAATATCCTCTGGTGTTGGTTTACATAATTGATAGTTTATCAGAGCCTAATTGATTTTTAAAATCTCCAGTGAAGTGTTTTATTTACAGAAGAATTGTGATTCATTTGATTCCCATTTCATGGAAGATTTGCTTGTGTTCATATCTCAGTTTTTCAATGTTCAAAAGAGATGTCATATCTTTTTGCTCCTTTAACCAATTTGACAACTCATCTTCTCTTTCTTCAATCTTGGCATAAATTTTCTTGAATTCTGTATAGATACCTTGCATTCTATCAGCATAAGGAAGATTCATACATTTGTTGTGAAAGGGATAGCTCTTTGAGAACTCAATTTGATCAGATTCGTACATGTTCTTGTATTCAATTGCCAAATCAGCTAGATTGAAAATTCTGTTAGATGACAGGATTAATTGAAATTTTTCTTCAAAATCCTTGTCATTAATTACTGGATTTTTTGCTTGTTCCCCTATTATTCCTTGAGAAAAATTCTTATCAATAAAATCTAACATCTCACAAATTGATGTTATCAATCTTTCTCTTTGTGTGTAATCAATCAGTAGGGTATCATCTTTAGCATATACTCTTTTCAAAAATTTGATAAGCTGTTCAACATCAACATCAAATGCTGCTTGTTTTTTTACATCTGAGCTGGTTGGATCATGTTTGACATCAAGTAGCATTTTCATCCTCTCCTCATGTCTTTCATCAAGGGATTTAGACAAAATTACCCATTCTTCAAGATCAGTTCTTCCTTCTTCCCCAAGAGCTTTCCAAAATGCATTGACCATAAAAGTATCCACAATATCATATTTCATCCACATGAGTTCTTGCTTACTGAGGGCTTAATGGTTTTGAAAGGTTACATAAATTAGTCATTAAACACATTCAGTCCAAACACTCAAAATTCCTTGAGAGATCCAGATTTTTTCAAACTTTCAAAAGGGACATACCATGGTAGAATTTAAAACCAAATGGCAAAAACCAATTTTGTTGTATATCTATAAGTGCTTGCATCATGTGGCCCTGGGGAAAATATTCCTGGTATCTTGCTTGAGGCAGGGGGGGATAATGTTTCCAAAAAATATCATGTGTGCAAGGATAGACAATTGACACTAAAATATCTCTATCTTTGAATAAAGAACTAATAACTTTGTCATCTATGAAATCCTGCTTGTACAAGAAATCTATTGTTTTGAAAAGAAGTGGGAAAAGATATGTAATTGGTCCACTGCATATAGTGCATCAAACACACCCTGTGTCAAGTTTTTCAAGATAATCTTGGGCTTGATTGACATAAAAAAGAGCAAATTCTCTCCATGTTTCTTTTGGAATTGATGCAAGCATTTGTGGAGAAAGATTCTGAAGCCAATCTGGCATTGAAAAATCTTTCTGATTCTTCAGGAGGAGGTTTAAAATATTTTTTCCATTTGAATCTGAAGATTGCAAAGATAAATTTCCTAATTCCCAAAACTTTACCTTCTTGAATATTTCTATCTTCTTTCTGAATTCAATGATATTTCTATATGCCCTGGAAGCATCAAGCTCCACTTCCACAGAAACAGAATCCATAGGTAGACTGAATTCACCAGAATCAACAATTTGTTTATGAATTTTTTCGATTTCAATTGAATCTTGATACAATAGGAACAATCTCTCTGCATTTGTGTCAAGTATAATGAATATTTCAACAGCTTAGTCATTTGAAAAGAGTCACAACTTGCCTTGATTTGTTATCCAGTTCTCTCTGACCTTGAAATCTTGAGAGGATATCATGATCAGTCTGAAACACATTTATCACTGACCAGAAATGAAGAGTTTAAAACTCACATTCTGTTTTTTGTACAGATGAAATGGGAGGTGTAGCAGAAGTACTACCAGAAAGAAGGGGGTGGTCCAGCATATCTTTGGGCTGGTTACTTCCGGTAAGTGTTAGTGCCTGTAGTGAATCAGTTGGTGGCAACTGTGGATTGCCCAGTGTTTCTTTAGCTGGTAGCATGGGTTATGAAGAGGAGCCATCAGCATTAAAGCAAGTGAAGTGATGAGTGATAGTACAGGTCAGACAATAAGATAATTACTAGTGTCACATAAATGGTGGACAGTATTGCTCCCTTCAACACGGTTTTCAACTGATTTGTCAATAAACGCGCCGAGGGTGGTTGGCATTGGACACAAGCTGATAAGCAGCAGTGGGAAAATCATTTCTCAGGAAATGGGGCAATCTTGCTGACGTGTTTTAATTAGAGGTACAAACAAACAAGTCTCATTCCAGACTTCGATTTTATATCCAAGACTGCAAGAAAAACACTCTCTGAACTTGGAACGTCTCGGCAGTGTTTCCAACTATCATCGACAAGCACATGGGGCGTCCGATTCGAGTTTGCTGAAGGTGCTGAATGATGGTTCTGGCCCCGGTACCATATCACACATTATGGCAATCGTACAGCGCAGTATTATTTTGCCGGCATTGCGGCGGCATTCGGCGGACCTCTCGTCAAGCTTTGTGTCGACCTTGTCGGGTTTTACCAGTTTTTCCCAAAACACACATTTTCTTAACTCGGCATCTCTCGGCATGGGATGCTGTGATTTAGCTTCCCTTGGAAAGGAGCCGATTAACTTCCATGCCGTCCATTGATCAAGAAAACAGCGGTTATCTTCAATCTTACCTTTCTCATTTCTTAAGCAGCAGTAGGAACATAATTTCTAAGGAAATGAGGCAATCTTGCTCAAGTGTTTTGATTAGAGGGACGAACAAACAAGCCCCATTTTAGTCTTCCATTTTATTTTAACAAACATTCACTTGAAAGTCTCGGCAGTGATCAACAATTGCATTTTGGGGGTGTACCCTCTGAGTGTGGTGAGGTTGGTGAACGGCCATTCTGGCCCCAGTACCACAGCAAAACTTATGGCAATCATGCAACGCAGTACTATTTATCAAGCATCAATAGCTTGATGCCGAACTGCCAAAGCAGCCATTCGTTAGCTTATCAGCAACTGATTTCACAGCTCCAGTGCGGCATGATTCGGCGGATTTCTTTGTGCAACCTTCTCAACCTTTCTGTGCCGACCTCGTTGGGTTTTATTAGCTTTCCCAAAAGAATGCAGTTTCGTAACTCGGCAGCTTTTGGCATCGGTTGCCAGGTGATTCAGCTTACCCTGGAAAGAAACCCGATATACTTTCATGCCGTACCATGATCAAGATGTTGGAATCCAAACTCAGGAGATACAGAGCCAACCCCTAAAAAGGGTCAGAACCCAGAAAGCAGAACACGCAGTAGTGCTTGGTAAGCAACCATCACTAAACCCTGTAATAAACCATCTAGGAGAGCCAAGAGCTAACCAAGATGCAATCCACAGACCGAGATCAATCCGCCAACGCGACAGACCACGAGACAGAAAATGCGTACGCCTCCACTCCAAATAGGAGGTAAGTTCGCAGCACAGAAACTATAAACTAGATAACTCGCAAGCGAGCTCAAAGGCTGACTTCAGTCTACCTTAAAACAGCAGCTTGATAGAACGACTATCATCCCCCATCGCACCAGACTGTTCCACCAGGAATTTACCAAGCGAAACAAGCGGTAAGCACAAGATCAAGAATAATACCATTAGTTAAATAACTAACATAAGACTTATTCTTTAGACACACCTCTAGCTACCGATAACAACAATAACCAGAACACAATACGATACCTACAAAACAAGACAGGTAAGAAGCCCCTGCTACATATAGCACTAGAAAAGAAACCAAGACTAACCCAGAAACGTTTCTTAAACAGAAGTCACTTGCACTACGCAACAACGACTATAAACAAACAGAGAAAAAGAGGCTCGATCCAAGATTCCAAAAGTAAGAACAGCCACTTCTAAACAGCTACTAATCCGTAGTCTAGACACTAACTCGGAATTCAACGTACCATTCCGAACAGACTATTTTCTTCCTATATACTTTTTACTACTATCATCTAGCTCTCTCTTTTCTTCTCTCAACAAAAAACTTCTTCAAGAATACTGTAGCAACACCTCGCTTGCTTCTAGGTACATAACAATTTCAATCATGTTTATCTATTGTGTTTAGCCAGACCCATTCTAATGGAAATAAAAACATTCTAGTTGCTTGAATTTTATCACAAGAGAGCAAAGTGGAATGGCTACATATGGCACTGGCAGCATACCACAGCAGTGATCTCCAGTCTTACTTTCCTCGTTCCTTAAGTCTTATGTACCCAACAAATACGCGTGAGAGGGAAATTCGCGAACTGTCCATAAATATTGGACAGTGAGTGAAAGAAAAGATTGGGAAAAGCACTGATTAAAAAGAAGAAGAAAAAGAAGAAGAAAAAACCATGAATCGAAGCACTTGAGAAGAACAATTATCGGTAGGATATTGAATCTCTAAAGAGATGCCTATAGTCAAAGGAGATCAATGACGATGAGGATTGGATACCTCGCGCAGTTGTTTATCATTGATCATAAGATGTGTTGATGTTCATGTCAAGCAAAGTGACGCAGAGGAGACCAAAAACTCCGATTGAACACCAATCGCGATCAGGCACTCCCTCCGTCTACCTTCCCGTACGTATGGATGTCAATCCTTGGGGGATTAAAGTTAGGATCAAATGGGTTTTGCCAAGATTTATACAGCATGTAGTTGTGGATGGCAATCATGACTTACTTACTGCCAACTGGTGAAACTCTAGCTCTTGGGACATTCAAAGCATCCTCCAATCCTGCAATTGTCCTCCAGAAAGAATGGATCAATCAATTGCTTGCGGTTACAAGGACTCAATTTACACCCTGTTTCCCCTTGCTTGTCAAATTCCAGCACGGCTTCTACAGTTTTGCGGCTCTTCCTTTCTACTAGTATCTCATGAGGTTGGTGGGTGTTCACGAGGTTAGAATGAGATTTCAAGGCGCGTTTCTTTTGGATTAGTTCTAGATATCTCCATTGATCAAAAAAAGCTGAGATCAACTCTATGATGTGAAGTTAACAACTCACAATCCATGAACAAAAAAGTGTATCTGCTTGGAGATGGAAGGTGATAAATCATGAAGGAATGAGGACATTGCAGTGCTTACCAAGAGGCCATAGCTAGATTGGGTTCAATTTTTGTGCTGTAGGAGGCACTGCAGCTGCCAAAGCGTCAGGGATCATACAAAACCTGATTCCAGTTGAAACTGTTTTATGTATCACATCAACTTCTGTTTACCACTCACTGATTCTCTCTGAGTGGAAAAAGAAAGTTTGCCCCCAGCAGAGAGGGGGTTAATTAACTTGGAGTAATAAATGAAAATTCTCTTCATAATAAATACTCTACCACTATTTTGACAGTATTTTTGAAGAAACATATACATAGGTACATACATTTGGTAGGGAAACTCTGTACAGAGCAATGCTGATTGCAAGAAAGAGTCAACCAAAAGCTTTTATGTTCTAAAAATATCATAAAATTAAGCAAAGTCACTGGCCGGGAGAGTGCCAAAGAATATGTGATATCAAGCCTTATGGATGTTTGAAATTTCCACAAAGTGTTTTATCTACAGAAAGATTGTGATTCATTTGATTCCCATTTCATGGAAAATTTGTCTGTATTCATATCTCAGTTCTTCAATGTTCAAAAGAGTTTCAATATCTTTTTGATCCTTCAACCAATTTGACAACTCATCTTTCCTTTCTTCAATCCTGGAATAAATTTTCTTGAATTCTGCATAGATGCTTTTCATTTTGTCAGCATAAGGAGAATTAATATATTTGTTATGAAAGGGATAGCCCTTTGAGGACTCAATAGCATCAGATTTACATATTTTCTTGTATTAAATTGCCAAATCAGCTACATTGAGAATTCTTGTGGATGCCAGTATTAATTGAAGCTTTTCCTCAAAATGTTCATCATTAATTCCTGGATGTTTGGGTGTATCTGCTATTATCCCATGAGAAAAGTACTTTTCAATAAAATCTAACATTTCACATATTGCTGTGATAAAAATCTCTCTTTTTGTGTGATCAATCAGTAGGGTATGATCTTTGACATATATTCTTTTCAAAATTTTAATAAGTTGTCCAACCTCATCATCAAATGCTCCTTGTTTTTTTATTTCTGAGTTGGTGGGATCAAGCTTGACATCAAGCAGCATGTTCATTCTCCCATCATTTTTTCCACAATGGGATTTTAACCATTCTTCAAACTCAGGTATTTCTTCTTCACCAGGTAACTTACAAAATACATCTTCCATACAAGCATTCAAAAAATCAAATTTTATCCACAATAGGTCTTGATTATTGAGGGCTGAAGAAAGTTTTGAAAAGGTACAAAAAGCCATATTAAATCTTCAAGCCAAACACTCAAAATTCCACTTTGGAGTGTTGAAAACTTTTAGAAAGGAACTTACCATTATAGAATTTGAAACCAAATGGCCAAAACCAATTTTCCTCAATATCTATAAATGCTTGCATCATGTGTGAAAACTTTTTTCGAAAAGGATCATATGTGCAAGGATGCCTTGGTTGAAGTTTGTGTGAATAATGCTTCTGAAAAAGATCATATGTGCAAACACCTGCTATGTACAATATTTCTCTATCTTTGAAGAATAATTTGATAGCTTTATCATCTACAAATTCTTGCTTATACATGAAATCAACAGTTTTGAAGAAAGGTGGGAAAATATAATCAATTGCTGAACTGCATGGGATCACGTTTAGATCTATTTGTTTGATATAATCTTGAGCTTGATCCAAAAAGGAAAGGGCAAACTTTTTCCATACTTCTTGTGGAGTCGATGCCAATATTTGAGGAGGAAGTTTATCAATCCAGTTCGGTAGTGATTTAGCTTGATGATTCTCAAGTAGGAGGTCCAATATATTTGCTCCAGTTGAATCTAGATACTGTGGAGAAAGGTTCCCTAATTCCCAGAACTTTAACTTCTTGAACAGTCCCATCTTCCTTTTAGATTCATCGGCGTATTCGAGTGCCTTTCTATGCTCGGTTCCCAGGTTTGAAGCAGGATTTAAAACAAAAACTGGATGTAAACCATAAAAACGGCTCTCAATAGTTTGCAGATATATCTTTTCAAGATCAATAGAATCCCGATAGAGCAGAAACAATTTGTCTACATTTGTGTCATATATGGATACGTTCTGTGAGTTTGACATAGTTGTAAGTAATCACAAGATAAAGTCACAAAAAAGGAACTTGCCTTCATTTTTCTTCCAGTTCTCTCTGGCCTTATAACCTTTGGATGATATTATGATCAGTCTGAATTAGCACATTTACCATTTACCAGAACTCAAGAGTCAAAGAATGAAGAAAGAAACGGAAGAAGTGAGAATAAGATGAAATACAGCCTAGGCATACCTGTGGGCGATGGAGATGGGACGAATGTGAATGAGTTGAATTGATGATAAATGAGAAACATAAACAGAAGAGAATGAAAATTACAACTGAAAGGAAAGACTAAGTTGTAATGGATTCTACTATTAGGTTTAGGTTTCAGAATTCAACTTTATCTATCATTGAGTCCGCAGCATTGTGCCCTTAGGTTACCCGGAGTTGGTTGTAGTTCAATAATGTGTGACAGCACGGGTCAGACGATAAGATAATCACTTGTGCCGCATAAATGGTGGGCCTCATTGCTCCCTTCAACACGGTTTTCAACTGCTTTGTCAATAAACGCGCCCAGGGTGGTTGGGATTGGACACAAGCTGATAAGCAGCAGTGGGAAAATCATTTCTCAGGAAATGGGACAATCTGGCTGAAGTGTTTTAATTAGAGGGACGAACGAACACGCCTCATTCCAGACTTCGATTTTATATCCAAGACTGCAAGAAACATACTCTCTGAGCTTGGAACGTCTCGGCAGTGTTTTCGATGTGAACCTCGACAGCTATCATCAACAAGCACATGGGGCGTCTGATTCGGGTTTGGTGAAGGTGCTGAATGATGGTTCTGGCCCCGGTACCATATCACACATTATGGCAATCGTACAACGCAGTATTATTTTGCCGTCACTGCGGCGGCATTCGGCGGACCTCTCGTCAAGCTTTGTGTCGACCTTGTTGGGTTTTACCAGTTATTCCCAAAACACGCATTTTCTTAACTCGGCGTCTCTCGGCATGGGATGCTGTGATTTAGCTTTCCTTGGAAAGAAGCCAATAAACTTCTATGCCGTCCCTTGGTCAAGAAAACAGCGGTTATCTTCAATATTACCTTTCTCATTTCTCAAGTATTGGTTAACTACGCAAAAGAGTAAACTTCACATACTGTAATCATTGTTCGATTGTGATTAGAAGAAAAGATCAGGGAAAACACGGTTCGGCACAAAAGCCCAGAAAATAAATATACTCAAGAATCCCTAATTATCGGTAGTATATTGAAGTTCTAAACAGATTCCTTTGATCAACGGGGATTGCTGACGAGGATGACTGGATACCTTGGGCAGCTGTTTCTCATTGATCGAGGGATGTGTAGTGGCTGACAAGCACAATGGAGGAGAAGAGACCAAAAACTCGGACTGAATGCCGATGCCGATCAGACATTCCTTCCATCTACCTTCCCACATTAACGTTAATCCCTAGCAGAGCCAAATTAGGATCAAAAAATTGCGGATGTGGTAACATGTAGTTATAAATGGTGATCTTGACTTACTGTTACTGGAGAAACCCTGGCCCTGAGGATACTCAAAGTATCCTCCAATCCTGAAACCGTCCGCCAGAAGGAATGGATCAAGTAATTGTTCGCGGTTCCAGGGGCTCTATTGACATCCTGCTTATCCATGCTTGTTGAGTTCGAGTAAGACTTTTCCATGATTTTCAAGTCCCTTTTGCCTTCGGCTCCCTCAACTAGTAGCTCATGAGGTTGATGGGTATTAAGGTGAGAATCCTTGGCGCGTTTCTTTTGAAGCAGTTCTAATCCAAACGTGATATCTGAATCGAACGAAAAGAAATTGAAATCGAATCTGTCATATGAAATCGACCACACATGAACGATGAGTATATCTGCTCTGAGATGGAAGGTGAAAGGAAAAGTCATAAATGGAACGATGAGAACGTCACGGCGCTTACCGAGTAGCCATAGCTAGATTGGGCCCGATTTTCGTGCCATAGGAGGTACTGATTTGGCCCATGATGGGGTTTAGAGTCGCGTTGATGACCGTGGGTTGTTGGGTTAACGCGGCTCCAGGTGGATCAGGGATCGTACAAAACCTGATTCCAGTTGAGACTGATTTTATGAAAGGTGAATGTAAGCATATTGCGCAACGTGATTTTTTCTCTTTTTTTGGGGGAAAATATATCAAATCGACTAGACAGTTCTGCTTACCACCTGCAGATTTCCTCTGAGCCGAAAAATAGAGTTCCCCGCCGACGGAGAAGCGACCTTTCAAGACGTTATCCATCACTTCATCCTCGTCGATCAATTTTTTCCTATCGGTTGACGTCAGGCTAACTTGGCTATCTTGTGCCGCATTATGGGCGAGAGCCGAATTGTTTTCCCGACGCCTAACGGTAGTTGTAGCAGGAAAGTTATGTAAGACGCGGGCTCCAAATAAGCCATCCTCTGTTGAATAACTGTATTGTTGGGACCATTTCCCGGTGTCATGGTTCATGGATACCATCATGTTCCAAATCGATGGCCCTCCAATTCCGTTCGACATGTGATTAATCGGGGAGCCATCTTGATTCGCGCCATTGCCGCTGATCCCTAATGAATTCGACGTTGAAGAAGGTACTGATACGAGTGTTGCCAGCGCTTGTAAAGTCGGCGAAAATTGGTACGAGTACAAGGCATCTAACCTATATGTTGGAATGTGAAATCGGCCGTAAAGCAGATAGTCTTGCGCTGTGGATAGAAATGAGTTGGCAGGATGTATTGGGTGAGTCAGTTCATCTGATTTCTCATCATTTCTTGCCACAATATGTCAGAATAAAAGGGAGTGAAAGCGGGAAAAAGTATAAATATGATGGCAGACTTGGTTGGTTTACAAACCCGTATTAAAAGTGCCATTGTGCTGCTCAGCCGACTTATTTGGAGGAGGAGAAGGGACTGCGAATCGATCGACTACCGTCGTGAGGGCGGCCAATCTGGTTGGAACCAACTGGAAGGACTGGATACTTGATGCCACATAAGAGACGCTGCCTGTTAGCGTCGGATAAGGGGACGACTGGGGTAATGTTCGTTGGGCGAGTGAAATGTTTGACGGTGGACTGAGGACGGAAAGCGAAGCCGAATTTGCAAACTGATGTGCAGGCAGCTTGCCCAACGAGAAATGGATCCCAGGCAGGAAGTTAAGATCGAGTAGTGCTGGAAGAAATGCAACCAACAATCAGTTCTTGGTAAACCAACGAGCTTACAGATTATAGAAACACTACTCACCTCGAGTCGGTTTGGTCAACTGAGCGTAATCGTTATCAGGGTCCCATCCGATGGCAGCGTAATGCGAACTGAGTAACTGTGATCCGAATGGATGCATAGTCAGTGATTATCAATTCCTTGCAATGGCGGATTGAAGAAGATGCTCATCAAGAAGTCGAGAGGAAGATGGCCAAACTTACCCTAACTTAACCCACTCGCTAAGTTTTCTTGGATGCCAAAGTGAAGCCTCGCTTCCCGGGAGAAGACTATCGGGGCCACGACTTGGTAAGTTGGATCCCGGACGCAGGCTAAGACTAGTAAATGGCTTTCTAAACTCCTGCCTTCATATTCCACCGTGGCCCTTCTGGCTTGCGGTTAATCACCCAACACTGTGTGATAAAAACATGCACTATCATCCCCACCCTCATGACCAGGCCAGTATTTAAACCTTCCATGTTCCCTTCTTACCCTCCCATGATGTCTTCCAAAAAGTGTGGGTGACTTTGTATTACCAACTGGACTGTTGGAGTTGGAAAGCAGACACAAACATATATAACTCAAATTTTCCCAATAGTGGCACATTAGCTACATTTCAGCTTATCAACTCAAGGGAAAATAAACCTGAAAATCTGTACAAAGATAGTTGCAAGGCTACATGGAAGAACTTCCAGCACAGAATTGACAAGGTATTATTATGATGATGAGAAAAAAGTTTTTGAACCAAAATGCAACTTTTTACAAATTCTAATAGAGAGTTCAAAGTTTTACCCCAAATACACTCTTTCTCCAGCATTTAGCAAACCATCACTGACCTGATTTGATTTGTTTCTCGTGGCTTGATTCATGATATCAGCAGTGTAGAAGTCACTGCTTGCCCACAAAAGAAAAGAGAGATGAGATTTGAATGTTCTCAGTGACAGTAGAGGACACAAATTGGAACAAGAATAAGATGGATGATAACCTATAATTTTTTTTAGGGAGTTGGTTAAAATTAAATGACTCCCACGGATTTGCCAATTACTCCCAAAGACCGTTGGAAATCATGCCTCCGAGTCCAAACGGATGGCCAGACTTGGGAGTCAGCCATCAAATTTTTAACTGGAATGAGATCCTTCCGGTTGATAAGAGCATCCATATCATTTGAGTGGATTATTGGAGGACTTCCCGTCGCGGTTTAGAGTGTTTTTTAGACCTCTCTCAGTTCTAAATTAACACTCTAATCACAAATACAACTAGCTCACATGAGGGCCTTTACTACAAGGCTTCTGAAGAAAGATTTTTTTCTGCCAAAAATTAAGACCTTGATGGTGTAAATCAAATTCTGTGAGGGTCGTAAATGCCGACGGGAAGTCATCCATTGAGGATTAGCAAGCTTGCTAATCCAAGAATTAGTGAGGTATAAATTTGATACCTGCTACATAGCTCCAGATTTGGCTCTGGAGCTAGTTTAATCCAATCTCTAATCCCAACCAGTGTGGCTGGGAGGATTAGATTAGACAGCTAATCCTACCTAATCCGCACACCAATGCGGATGCTCTAAGGTTTAATTTGTACTTGTACCAGACTGGTTTTAAGTAGTTAGAAGAGGTCATAAATTGGACATGAGTGTTCAATATGAGTCATTTCATGTGGTTCTATTATGACATTACAGGTGCAATTTGGTGTCCTGAGGACATCACACAAAAAAAAGTCCCAGGTGTATCAAAATCAATTTGAAAAACAGACCCTTCCTTGCAGCAGCCTCATGACCAAGCTGTTTTGATGGATTTTTGGTCCCTGGGACAGCACTGGGACAACCCCCCCCCCCCCGCCCAGGGAGGTTTCTGCAGCCTACAGGCTATAATCTGTAGCTACTAAAGAGTATAAAAAAAACGAGGGGACTTTGGAACTGCCAGAATAATTGGGTGGGTTTAGGTTATGTAATTTGAACTTCATTGGATTTAAACAAATCAAATACCAAGTCAATTTCATTGGTTGAGATGAAACCAAGTTTAAATTGGTTGTGTGCATCCCAGTTTAACTGGGATGCCCTCAACCTAGCCAATTATGCTGGCAGTGGGGGATGAGGATACAAGGATGAATTTTCAACAAGAATTAATTTTCTGGATACAGCTTTTGTGGTCAATATTAGTGATCACATGTATTGCTTGTTTGTATAAAACCAGGGCTGTTTCCCAAGCTGCCATGTTTCTTTTTCCTCAATCTCCAGTAGCAATTATGACTCTCAAGTTAGGCAAAAATTCAGGTAACTAAAATTTTGACATGGTGTTATTCTCTGCTTTGTATCACCATTTTCAAATACACATCCCAGATGGCTCATTAAAAACACCAACATGATACTTAATTTCAACTTGCATTGAATCTAAGCCCAGCCCCAAAAAGGAGACAAAGAGGAATGTATTTTCTGCATGATGTCAACAGGTGCCAAATTGGTGGCCAAGTGGCCAGTGTGGACTGTTTCCCTTTTCCCCCCTCTCTATAGGAGACCCAATTTGGTCTAGGTTGCATCTGAACTAGATTATATCTTGGTCAACTCATTTTGAATTAAGCTGTCATTTTCTGGTTGGACTGGGTGGAAAAGAAGGTGTCAAACAGGGGAGCAGGCAAAATGGTTCCTTGTTAATCCAAAAACAGGGTTTCATTACCAACCTTGACTGAGGTTTTGTTAAAATCAGCCATGGCTGTGTAGCTTTATGATATTTCTAGTTCATTTTTCTTCCTCCATTCAACCCCCTTTCCCCCGTCACTACTAGCAATGATTGTCCAGACCCGGTCATCTAGCAAACATCAGGCAGATTTTTTCAACCGGTCCTATGCCCAAGGTGTGAACGAGCGCAGAACCAAATGAACAGCGACTGGTAACCGGTGTAACAATTTATCCCACCGGTTAATTCTGGCGATGCCTGGCATCCATTGTCACTCGAGAATCTGACTGGCCACACCCAAACCTGCGGACAGAGAATAACTTGCCCCACATAAGGTATGGAAAGTTGTGCGAATGGTAGGCAAATACAAAACGCAGGACTGCGGTTGGCCCTAAAACTTAGAGCGCCACAACAGCTTTGTATCTATTTGGGAGTTGTTTTGGCGCACAGAATTCAAATGCACCACAATTCCCAGCTTATCATGGTATAACATGACTTGATTTAGGATTTCTACCTCCGCAAAATGGATCGACAAGCGCACTATAAAGTTGATTGACAAGCCGAAAAGGAACCACCTGAATGAACCCAAAAGTACCAATTAATCGAAATATCCACCTCTGATTTCGACATTTCTGTTTCGGCTCTGTTGAAATCGATAGGGAAATCAAAACCAATTAACCGAGTCAAGTCGGACTTACGTTGATTTGCGCAGCTCGAGATATCCTCAACAGAACACCGCATTAAAATCCCGAGCAGATCGCTCTCCAGTTTTCGCGCACGCAGGTTTGCACCATTTGTATTCCACATTTCTTTCTTGGGCGGGGTAATATGTTTCCCCCATTGACTGGGTCCCGCTTTCCCCGCGGAAGGATTCTAGGTAGCTGTACATACCAGGAACGAACGATGTACTCGTCATGAAAGCAAACAATACTTCTTCTGGAACGAGAAAGGCCCTTATTGCTGCGTTATGAGTAAAATTCAGCGTCGTTAGCAGATTCCACACAAAGGTGAGAGGTGAGCTTAAATTGATGTTAAACATCATGCAAACATCCTACGATCCTGCCCAATCACGTCGTATCATCTGGCCGGGACATTCCTACGCCTTGACAGAAAAGACATGATTTCCTTACCAGTCCTGTTCACAGTTGAGCCTGATAGAGCCTTTCCCTTCTGTCAATGGAGTGCATGACTGGGAAGCTAATCATATGTTTCTCGTTAAACAGCTCATATTTCGGTTCTTTCCCCTCCTCTCAAAACCCCTGGAGCATCTGGGCACTTCTAGTCTCAAAAATGTCCGATTCTCAGAACGTGAACCACCGAAACCACAGAAACTGAAAGTGGTTTGTTACATGCCCAGTGAATCGGCAGTAGCTGATGGCGTGGTCAGCAATGATCAGAAAACAATTAGAAAGAGCGATGTGGTACCATGTGCGCAGAATTACTACTTGAACCAATTCGTTGGCCATCCACATTACGAATTTTTGAAGAGTTTGAAAGAGGGTCTTGACTCTTGGGAAGGAATGATTGATGATTACTGCGAGAGAACCAAGAAGATCTCTGTATCTCATCAACGTAAAATCATAAAAAAGTTGGAAGAACCTGCCGGTAAACAGCAGATTTCTAAGAAACAGCAGTATAAGGATTTGGACACAGAGGCGCACAAGGCTCCTGAAGATCTTCATATAAGACTCCTTGAAGCCACTTCAGACTGCCCAATTTGCATTGATAGATTTCAAGAGCCCAAGAGAAATAACAAAGGACAATGGGAATGGGAAAAGCTCTACAGCTGCCCAGCATGTAACTGGTGTTTCCATATCGAATGTCTCGACAAATGGCTCTCTAAGGAAAAGGCTTTAACTTGTCCAACTTGTAGGACGCTAATTGATAATGGTCGTCGGCATATGGCAATCCTGGAACGAGTACAAACTCCCCGGTTACACCATCTTGAAATTCCAGAGTCAGAAGAACTCTTATCGGATGAGCTTTATCTTCCATCACCTGAGGCTGAATCACAAGTTAATAAAAAATGAATCATCGGATAAAATCCTGTGGTTTGTTTTCCTTTTTGTCAGGCTGGTTTTCGCTCTGGTAATTTCCGCTCTCAGTCTCAATTGCCCCCCCCCCCCCTTCGCCCCTAAACGCCAGAAAGTTTCCATTTGTGTGATTTCAGCCAGTAAGTAGTTATTACGCAATTTGGGCCCGAGCTCGTCTTGCAGCAACTTGAAAGCCTGCTGATTAGGTCGGACGCCATCTGTCCATTTGAATCACGTGCTCTGCTTTCGGATAACTTCCCTTTGTGATACTTTCACCTGACACATGTCTTGATTTTGTATTTTCTTGAATGTAGGCTTCTTATAATGTATTTCACATATCACACTTCAATTACATAAGGATATGGGAACTGTGGCTGGCATCATCATAAATCTCTAGTGTAATGATTCAAATTTTTCCAAAGAAACAAAAAAAAACATTATGTGTAGCCAGAATGGTGTAGAGGCAATATGGCTTACAGTCTGGCTCAATTTTCTCACCTAAACAGTGTGGCTCAAACCTTAGGTTAACATTCTGAATATCCAATTTGAGAACTATATTTAGGGTGCTGGTCACAGTGATGTATCAGCTTGAATCAAAAGAATTGAGTCCAATAGTCAGCTTGATAACAATTCAAACATGTGTTTTGAATGAACTCCCCATTCCAATCTAAACAAGAGCTAGAAAGAAAATCTACAATTGTAACAGACATTCAAGAAATCTGTTGAAGACACATGTCTGAAATACCCCCCTGTTCTTGAGCAATGTGTTGAAATTAGATTGTGACTAACTAACTGAGAAAAACCAGTGGACCGCAGTGAGCAAGGAGAGAGTTGTGGGAAGCGGGACAATGGGACAGAAAACAAAAGGAAAAAAGAAATCACCTAGTGGGGTGATACAATGAAGAAACTATGTAAGTGAGGAAAAGAGAGAGAAAAAAGGAAAAACACAAGGTACTACACTGAGGAATCTAAGTACAACATCTAACCCGAATCTAGATGGTATGTATGATGGGGTTGCATTGTTTGTGTGATGCTAGTATAGATAGACTCCATGTAAGCAGTTGATTAGTGGTTCAGCAAGGAAATCATTGGATATAAAAATGTGAAGAACACTACATCTACACATTTTTAAGACTAAGATGACTAAGTTTGAAATTTGGTACACAAGGCTCACTGGAGGCCATCCTGTCAAATCTGGGACCCTTACAGAAGATGATCAAGACCCATAAAATGTAGATTCTCGCATAGGAATTTGGGGTTTGAGGCTCTCTGGAAGACCAGCAGATGTTGATCATGCAATTGATGGCAAGTCATCCGATGACTACATGGTGGGACAAGAATAGGATTCACTTGGATATTGAACTAGAGATGGTACAAAAAAACTCATTGGCAAATATGATTGAGGAATACTAAGCATTGAGAGGACAGGGGTGCAAAGTTGGTCAACGAATGATGATAAGCGGACTCGTTACACAAGTTTGAGGGGGGAGGGGGGGTCTCAATTGGAGATCCTCCTGAAAACTTACCCACCCATCCTGCACAAACAACCCCCCCTAACTGTGAGGAAAGCCAAGAATATATTGGTCACTTTCCTAGCTTCCCCAAATTGTGGACCATCCACCTCCAGTATTCTTCAACAACAAGACAAACTGCTGGTCCAAAGAAAGAAAGAGAGAGGTCGTCTTCCGAAGTCAAAAACCCTGACCTAAAGTTTGTGGTACACATTATGAAGGGCGACTGACTTAATGAAGTCCCTCCGAATACAGCGGGACTTCATCAAGTTATGTAGAAGGGCAGCTCCCAATTGAGAAACAAACCAAGATGGTTTGTCTCCTATGTGTATCTGCATGTCAAGGCATGTGTGTGCGTGTGTATGCAAATATGTGTTATTCTCATTTCTATTGGTCTTGGGATATTGGTATTGAAATAAAGGAGCACATGAAAGATAAAGGACCGAACGAACAACCAAAAAAAAAGGAACTCTAACAAGGGAAGGAGGGAAGCAAAGGAACGGGGGACCGGAGAGAGATCATCAGACGAGAGAGAAAGACAAGAAAAAAAAGCCAGCTAGTGGTTGACTGTGTGTGTACGATATGATCGAGATAGCGATTTTTGTTTTGTTTCGTTGCATTCATTTTTTTTTTCGCCCCCCTTTTTGTGTATTCGGGGGCAAGAAAAAGAAAGAGGAAAAAACAAAAGAAAGAAGACAAGAGTAGATAGTAAGTAGTGATGAGAAGTAGGGGAAGAGAGATAGAAAGAGAGACAGTTTCAAAAAAAAGAAAGATGGAATGGAATAGAAAACAAAACTTGGGGAATATGGGGGTTTGGTCGTTTGGCTGACAATTAACAGCCAAAGAAAAATATAAAAAAAATCAACCAATTAAAACTAGTACGAAGATCTCCTCTTTTTGGGTTTGTCTCTCTTTCTTTATCTATCTTTTGGGAATTCAACTTATCGACAACGCTTTTTTGGTCTTGATCAATCTACTTGGGTGAAGGATAAAATAAAATGATGGTCTCCTTGGCTATAATTCAAACTCTAAATAGTATCGAATGATCTGAAACCCAACAAAAGAAAGATTGGAATAATTTATTCACGGTTGTTTTATTTTTTTTTATTTCGGTTTCGCTTCGTTCTCTATATTCGAGATTTTATTAGATAAGGTCGGCGACGTTCAGGGGCATCTGTGATAGATTCAATGGAAAGATTAGCTCCCGTGCGACTTGCCATTGTTCTGGAAAGAAAATCAAAGTCAGCTTACCTCATCTATTTGTGTGTTGTAGAACCGCTCTAGTTCTCTCAATGCAGGCACATCCTCCGTGGCGACAAAGTTGATTGCCACACCTTTACGACCAAAACGACCACCACGACCGATACGGTGAATGTAGCTAAGACAGACATGAATATCCAGTCAGTTTGGAAATTTAAAGCCAACTTGACGGCGAAGTCAGGATTTACTTCTCTTTCGAGACCGGTAGATCGTAGTTGATGACTAAGGAGACCTGTTGGACATCGATACCACGTGCCAACAGATCGGTGGTGATCAACACTCGCGAAGAGCCCGATCGGAACTCCTTCATGATCACTTCTCGCTGGCCTTGTTCCATGTCACCGTGCCTGTTTTGTAAAAAAAAAAAAAAACTCAGGGAAATGAGTACGCTGTTTGAGGATTGATTAGGTCAATAGCGAGTCGATACTTACATGGACGAGACGGTAAATTCCCGACCGGTCAACTTCTCTTGTAGCCAGTCGACTATCAAGGAGCAGATCATTAGTGAATATCTGTTCAGACGAACGGCCCACAGTGAATTACAGAGTAAGAAGTTAAACCCTACCTTTTCTACGGGTGTTACAGAAAATGACTGCCTGAGTGATTGTGACGGTCTCGTACAAGTCACAGAGGGTATCAAGTTTCCAATCTTCCTTCTCGACAGCAATGTAGAATTGCTTGATACCTTCCAAGGTAAGTTCGTCTCTCTTGACAAGAATCCGGATCGGATCTCTCATAAACTTGGAGGTGACCTCGAGTACGTCTTGGGGCATGGTAGCACTAAGCAAGACGACTTGGGTGGTCGGTGGTAGGAGTTGGAAGACGTCGTAGATTTGGTCCTTGAAACCCCGACTCAACATCTCATCAGCCTCGTCGAGGGTGAAGATCTTGATGTGATCGGTCTTGAGTGCACGACGTTGGATCATATCGAACACACGACCAGGAGTGCCGACGATCACGTGGACTCCCTCTTGAAGCTTGGCCATTCCATCACGGACTGATGTTCCACCGACGGCGGCATAGCACTCGATGTTGAGGTAGTCACCGAGGGCGACCAAGACCTGATGAGATCGCAAGACAGCTTGATCAGGAGGGCTGGGTGAGAGCAGGGGAGAAGGAGAGGGGGTAGGGAAGCAAACCTTTTGGATCTGTTGGGCCAATTCACGGGTTGGAGCGAGGACAAGAGCCTGGCAAGCCTTGATGTTGACATCGATGGATTGCAAGATCGAGATCGAGAAGGTGGCCGTCTTGCCTGTTCCGGATTGGGCTTGAGCAATCACGTCGTGACCCTTGATGACGGGGATGATGGCACGCTGTTGGATGGCCGAGGGTCGTTCGAAACCGTAGGCGTAGATCCCACGCAATAGTTCACCCTTGAGCTCCATGGCATCAAAGTTGCTTTAGCGAGCCAAGTTTGAGAGTGAGTGGAGTGGTAAAAAGAAGGACGAGGGATCAGGTTGAGCTTGACTCGGATATTCAGAGCGGTTGTAATCAAGCACATACTCGACAACTTGGTCCCAGTTGGACTCGATGACCATTTCTTCAGCACCGCCTTCATCGACAACGGTGGTGACATCGGTTCTGAAGAGAACCCAATTCCAAAAAGTCAGTTAGATATGTGTGGGCTGATATAGTGTATCGGGGAAGTGGACATGATAGATATTGGCAAGATAGCCCGATCGGGGAGCGGATTGGATAGGCTCTTTCTCCTTGTCTTTTCCTTTTGTCAGCAGATAGTGGCCTGCTCGACGTGGAGGGGAAATCGAGGACGGATGGAGATGACTCACTGAGTTACAGCAGCCATGATGGATGGTTGTCTTGTTTTTTTAGTAAGTTAGAGGGTGCTAAGTAGTTTCTTCGACTTTGACAGTCCGCTTGGTGGGTGCTGGGTTGGTTGGTTGGGAGTGTGTTTTGCTTGGTTCTTTTTTTTTTTTTTTTTTTTTTTTGGAAAGCGAAGAGACAGAGCGAGGCAGGGGGGGGGGGGCTACCGAGGACGGGAGGGGGGTGTCCGAGTAGGGCTAATACAGCCAGTTGTTTTTGTATTCTCTCTCTCTCTTTCACAGCAGTGGGCGACCGTCGACGTACTCCCGATGACGCCCGATCACTTTAGCCTCCTCCGGAATCGGCCTTTCAGCCCAGAGGCGCCGGAAACCCGAGGCTCTACCACAACTCGGTCGAAAATAGCCAAAGTGGCGACAGAGATCCTCCTCCCCAAGAGAAAAAAAAACACAACCAGGGTTACAAAGCATACACCCCACAAGACACGTCGCCAACAGCTGGGAGGAGTCCGATCGAAGACCCCTCCCAATGATCCCCTCATCATGAGCAGAGCCGCCAGCCAGCGTCACGCAAACATATTTTGGACAACACTGAAATTAACAGGCTGGTCATCGTCGGAAATCGAAACTGGCATTCATCTGGTGTACATAATCGAGTGGAATCATGTTCACTCGAAACAAAATCTCAAACCCGGCGTGCTGATTAGTTCCGTCCGGCAAGGGGAAAAAATAATTCTCAGTCGCGATCACGCAAGCTGAGACCCTGAAATGGGTCTGTATGGTTTACTTGCTAATCACGCCCGCAGACTTGGAAACATTACAAATTAACTTGATAAGAGCAAGTTGCGTGGTGATTATGCTGATACATATTTATTTATATATTCTGAGGGGCTTCAGATCATATTATGTATCTGATCACTTCATATGCGTCATAAGTCCATTTTATGAGTGGTGTTTTTTTTGGTATCCTTGGGTTTCATTGATGCCTAAGCTAGTCTTTAAGACATTATATTTAGATCCCATTGTGACGTGAAGATATGGGCTAAAGCCTGGCCAAAAGGCCTTACAAGGAAAACCCCATGAGGGTTTTATAGTCCTATATAGACTCAGGGAAAGGGGTGTAAGATTACCCCTGAGAAGAGTCTCATGATAAATGGTGAGCTTTTATGTCCAAAGATAAGAAAAAGATGAACATCATAAGGGCCCACATGTCTTGATCTAAATTGGAGGGGATTTGGTTTGTTGAGACGAGCCTGTATTCTAGGAACTCTCCAAGTTGTCCTGGTTGTTCAGGAAGCACTCATGAATTACTCAAGTAGCACAACTTGAAAAACAAAATCATGAAATCTTGTTGATAGACAACTAGCAATTGGCCCCAATCCCGTCTTGAGCCCATACAAATTAGAACCCCTTCTTCAAGCTCTGGTAACAGACAAGAGTGTAAAGAGTGTCCTCTTTTTAGGCTCAGATTGGAAATGTGCCAATGCCTGGTTAGCAGTCGAGTCAATGATGTCATTTCATTGTAAAAATCCCCCTCCCCCAAACGAAAAATAAAAAATAAAAAATGAAGCCGTCAATGGCCAAGTAGAGTTGTTGCTTTCCCAGAAGGATTGGTACTGAACGAATAGTGGCCTGCATACCATCGGCCAATAAAGGTAAGTTCATTCTACGATATTTTCTTTTTTGAATTCAGTCATTTCAAAATCCTAGTGAACCCATGTGTAGTGGAGGTTGCGTTAAGCTGCCTTATACTTTAGGACTTTTGTTTTGATCTACATGGGTATAAATGGCTGCATCCTATCAAAATACAAGTTATTTCTTCTTCTTGATATTCTTCTTCACTAGGTCGTATCGCGATCTCCGCAATCGTGATAGCTTGATCTCTCTCTCGGTCAGCCGTGTCCAACCAGCTGAATTGAAATGTAATGCCAACCATCTCTACCCTGGGCGGATCATTCATATAGAATCACCCAGGTGAAGGCGAAGATGAGGACGGTCTACTTTGATTCGACTTTCGGAAGGACATTGTCCGGTTGGACGTCAGTCGATCCTTGATCGGCGCTGAAGATGAGAGATTTGTAAGGAGCGAACCATCGGCGGATCTACAGAAAATGGGAAAGCACCAGCCATCGGAATCAGTCATCGAAAAATATGCACACAAAATCAAAATTCAAAAGAGTTTTTCTGGACTTCAAAGTCTAGGAGTTTTTCCCAGTACGTTTTTTTCTTTTTTCTTTTGGGTTGGATAGGTCACTTAACTGGCGAGAATACGATCTCCCGATCGCCGTTTCCAAAATCAGCAAAAAGTACGCCCCAGACGCCGCAGGCTGTTAACCACAATAGACAAAGTAAGTCAACAGATACCAATACGCAATTCAAAAGAAGCGGAACAAGCGAAAACGGACGAACTGATTGATAGTGAGACTGCTAAGAACTGGGCTCCTCTTTGCCACCGAAGAGGCAAAGACAATTCCAACGGAATGGGTTTCGTCGAGCGACCGGCATATAGGTTCGGGTTCGTTAGATTCGGGGGCGCCTTGGGAGGGATAAGATTGTAGATTTCCGATCTCGGCTTGCCCGCCGATGTTGAGGGATGTGAGTCTGGTTGCTGGATCATCGTGCTATTTTAATTTTTGGCTAACCTGGCTGTTCAGAAGGGGGTACAATCTAGTTCCGCGACTCAAAGACGGGGGCCCACGCAGCACGCAGCAAGTTAAGCTAGCCCTGCCAAGGAGACTTTGCCCAATCCCTGTTAAAACTGTGAATTGTATTTGATTCATTCAATATTCTATATCTTATTCTTCCTTCACAAAGAATCATGAGCATCCGCATCGGTGTGTGGATTAGGCTGGATTAGCTGCCTAATCTCATCCTCCCAACCATACCAGTTGGGATTAGAGATTGGATTAAGTTAGCTCCAGGGTCAGTTTTGGGGCTAACAGGTATCAAGGGCCTGTACCATACAAGTGAATTTTGAAAAATGGTCATTTTTTCTGTCTCCTACACAAAAATTCAAAACAATTGGAGATACCTGGTGTTGAAATTCTTCATATTTGAGCTTATAATTGTCTTTGGTGATGATCACTTTTGATTATATGAGAATTTGAGGAATATGGATTCTGAAAACTGATGAAAAATTGAATTCTCATGCCATATGGTACAGGCCCTAAATTTATACCCCACTGATCCTGGGATTAAAGAGGTCACTAATCCTCACTAATCCAATCAACCAATGCGGATGCTCCAAGGAAGACCAAAAAAACAGAGGGATATTAAGCAATCTAGTGTTCATAATTAAAATCATCCACCCCTGTTGGGGTAAATCTTTGGAGCCCTACATAGCTCTTTTGCAGGACTACAGAAAAAAACTACCCTCATCAGCCTGTAAGCATTTGATTTGCCAGTGGATTAAACTTACTGAGAGCTATTCCACCCTCATGTCCTAGACTACACAGGCTATGTCAGCTTGTCACTATGAATAGGACAAATGGACCTGACAAGTTCATAATAAAATAATAATAATAAATAATTTACAACTAATAAAATATAAGTAAAATAATAATAACCCTGGCTGAATAATGAAAACAGCAGTTGTGTCAGCCTTAGAGATACTCCAGAGTATCCAAAAGTCTGCTAATAATAAATATATCTAATATTACTCACTAAACCATAAGTAAACACTGAATATAATTGAATAATCTTTATTTTCATATAAATTTAGGTGGGGTCTCTCACTGGAGCTACCCCTAAAATCCTACTGCTTCTAGGACTTTGTTAATACTCCAAGACCATGAAGTCAAGTAGGAACAAAATACTGTAAAATTAAGTAAGATAATAAAGTAAACCTAATGTATATTAAATTAGGGTTAAATATACATTTAAGACTGTATTATACAAGAAATAAATATGTAGAATAGAAATTACCACACTAGTGTAGCAACGATGTAACAGATCCGATCCCCGGATCGGTATTTATCGGGGATTGGATCGAAAATGGACCCGATACCGGGTATCGGTATCAGATCGCTCCACCCAATCCAATCCCAATGTATTGGACAACTGGGATCGGGTGGAGCGATCCAATACCGATACCTGGTATCGGGTCCATTTTTGATCCGATCCCCGATAAATACCGATCCGGGGATCGGATTGCTTACAGTTTGCATGATACCCAAGTGTAAGGCATACAGCCTGCAGCATTTGGGTGCCGGATCGGGATTGCAATGCGATCCCAATCCCGATCCGATACCATTTCGATACGATACCATGGGATCGGATCACCCTTAGTGATCCAATCCCTTATTTTTCGATACCTGGTATCGAAAAATTGATCCGATCCAATAAATCGGCCAATACTGTATCGGATTGGATCTGTTTCACCGTTGAGTGTAGTGTGTGTCAATTTCTATTGGTATTATTCTACTTTAGTTGACACATGATGTAATTGGCTATAAATATGCATCATAATGTCATGGGACATAGAATATAATTTTATTGGAGATATTACAACAATTCCCATTACATCATGGGATTATTTCTACTGTTGTACATTAAAAAGGAGATTCTAAAATATTCTAAGAAATGCCCCCCAAGAGATCTCTAGAATATTTAAGGAGGCCTTTCTCCTGCCTAGGATGGATTCCTCAGCATATTCACCCCCAACAAACTAAGTGAGTACAGTGAATATTATCCACCTACTTTTAGAGTAGTCTTTTTATCCAATCCAACCCTACCTTCTTACTGGAATTATTATTAAGCTGAGAGTTATCCCAGACTCAAAACTTAACTAATTCCTTAAAAAGTAGTTGCTGCAAGACCACCACCTCTGACTGTAGCCTTTCAGCTCAGGTGCTTGCCAGCTACTTCTTGCAATATTAATTATTGCTTCCAAACACTCTACAATAACATATTCTGTTATTGTCTCCTACAGTTCTCTCTTGATTATTCAAGTGTCTTTAACTGAGGAGTGTGGACTTTATAACCTCTTAAGTGGGAATTTTGGACCACTTAATACTTTGAGGGTGACTAGGAGTAATCTTGGTCTTTAACCTGAGTCCTTCAGTACAGTGATAGGACTTGGCTCTTATATTACTAAGCCAAAGTTTCATACACATAGCTGACAAGTTGTGAGTAAAATGAGCACTGAGAGACTGTGCGTGCACAGAATGAGGATTCTGCAGCATGAAGCGCAGGAGTTCTGATCCCACATCACCCCTGACATGACAGGTAGAAACTGTCAGGATCAAGGATAATCATGACATCAAGTGACTAAACACTATGAACGACCTCACCAAAAGAATAACAAGACTCACACTCAGCTACTCCACCCTAACTTGGAAGAATATGAAAGGCAGCACCAGATGAAGTTAAGACTCATTCATTCACAATCATCCAAACATTCTTCCACAAGTTTTCCATTCATCTCCAAATTACCTTCCTAGTAACTAAGAACTAACATAGTACCCCTTCCACTTCTACCAACCACAGGCTACAAAGCCTTTTTCTTCAAACGCCCTTGTCCTATTGTCAAAACAGGCTAGATACCCACCGTCTGGATCTGCTCATGAGTGTCAAGGAATTGTAGCTCTGACCGCTATCTCAAAGGAACACTCTTTCCATAAAGTAAGTCTTTGACCGCTGAGCTATTAGCCTCCATCCTCCATCTCAACTAGTACGAGGACCCAATACCCCTAGTCTCTACTAGGCTCCGCCATTAAGCTTCTCACAGTCTCACTCTCTATCAGGGGCATACCAAAGCTAGTACTTATTGAGGGAATTGTAAATAAACTCATAGATCTGGGCCCCTCTTCCCCCTTCCCTAAATCACTCTACCAAACCACTCCCATCCAGTTGCTTCATGTAAATTTATCCTGTATATGTAGCCTCAAGGGTTGTAAATAATATGTGTGTCAGATGGGATGTAGAGTATGATAGAGTAGAGCTATGAGTGATCTGTGAGTTACTAGCAGGGGTAGTTCAACCTGTATAATGCAATTCTTCCAAGATAAAGATTGCTAAATGGAGATAAATTAGAGAAAAACTAGAGAAAAAAATAGAAAGTTAATAAAATTTTTGAATTGAGCTATATGGTATACCATAAAGCATTGTTGAGTTTTTCTCAGTTCTGTCTCTCTCTGCCCTTCTTCTATTTCTTATCACCTTAAATTAGACTGATTTAATTTCACCAAGTAGCTTGTTTTCTGGTTGTTTTCTGAGTACTCTTCTGAGTCAAATTTGAACCTTAAGAAATTAAGCTCAACTCAATCAATCTTGTCTCTACGGTTGGAATTTCTTCTTTTTCTGGTTTATTGTCTGATATTAAAAAATTGGTTAACAAGAATTAACGCCTCTTGTTATTTGTGACTTAGAATATTTTATCTTGACTAGCTCATCTGGCTTTTACTACAAGAGAATGAGAAGTACTGCACAGTTTGTTATTTTCCAAGAACTTATTCTATTTTCTCTCAATTTTTTATTAAAAATACTTTTCTTTATTCATTTTTCTCTCAAACACATTTTTAACCTTTTGTATCTAGTCTATTTAAAACAGGCTAGCTACAAGAAATAAACTTTATTGGTTCTTCCATTCTTTTTCCGTGAACCATTCCCAAAAAAGGTCTTCAAACTTTTTTGCGCCCTTTTCTCAAAAGTCCTCATTCTTTGATTGTCAGGAGCTCAGAAATTCAACAAGCATCCCACACAGTCTGTTGAGTGGTTTTCTCTTTTTTGTGTCACATTTGTGGTTTGTGGGAGCCTTTTTTTGTTAAAATTTTTCATCAAAGGCCAAACCTTTGATCTTTTTTTGAAAGGCTTCTTTTTGTAGCCTGTAGGGGAAACCCCTGATCTTTTTGACTGTGAAGCACTTTCTTTAAAATACTTGGATGAAGCCCCTCTTCATTGGTGGCAAAATCTATTTTCTACTCAGAGGTCTTGTACAATCCCTGACCCTTTTGGAGCCATATTAACCCAAAAACCAACGGCAATGGTCATCAACACAACCCAGCACCACCCAATCTACGTATGGTCACTTGTTAAGCACTGAAACTTTACCATTCACTCACTAATTATAACGTTCAATCTCAGAGCAGATGCACCAATTTTTCATGGATTGTCAAATTCATATCATAGATTTGATATCCGCACTTTTTGTTCCATTCAGGTATCACATTTGGTTTACAAATCAACCAAATAAACATGCCCAGAGCTCTGACCTCAATACCAACAACCTCATGAGCTACTGTTGATATGAACTCAGAGATAGAATGGAGCCAACAGAGTTGGAAAGTATCATGAGTTCATTTTGAAGAAGAGGAAAAGAGATGAAAGAAAAGAACTGACCTGGAGGCAACAGATTTGGAAAAGGATGAGGAAAATGGAATTATTTCTTGCTCTGTTGATTTTAGTATAAGTACTGTATGGAACAAAATGAATGTCACAGAGTGTTACATGGGAGGAGTGTAAAGGAGGAAGCACACAGACTACAGTAGAGCCTATAGTAATGGATACCTCAACAGATGCTAGCTGAGGGTACCAAGAAAATGTTGGAATTGTGGATATGCATATCCAGTACAGTATGCTTCCACGTCAGTTATGCAGTTTGGCTTTGTATTTAGTCCTCCTGAT